CAAGTGAAAGTACGTCACTACTATTTGCGTGAACGTGTGTGTAGTCTAGCCAACACGTGCTTACGTTCTTTATTATAATTGGGACATCATCTACATTGCGTTACGTTACAGTGCACCACGCCACAGTTACAAAGTGAAACCGAGAGTCTTCATTTAGTAGGAATTAGCATTATGGAACATTTTTTACCAACTAACATTTCTTTTATACCGCTCACCAAAGGTAAATCACCGAGCGCTGAATAGTTTTTCCTTCTACGACTTCGCTTACGAAACATATCGGCCAGCGAATCGGTCTTAAATATGAAAAATTGTGTATAAATTTTTCAAAAATTCAAACGAAATATTAGTTGGAAGAATTACTCACTAAATTCCTCACTGTATTTAATGACATTATAAATAGATAAATGTACTAAAAATTATTATTAGGATGGTCAATATGCCGGTGTTCTGTCATATAAGACGTTCAATTGCCAAAGTGATTAAGTCCACAAAAATGATGAAAGAGATTTGTTTTAAATATACAAAGTTAAACACTAATCAAGTGCTTTGATATTCAAATTTGAAAAAATTCTAAAAGTGGAGTTAGTCACTGGCTTCTCAACGGCACATATAGTATTCGTGTACATACAAATACATTTAAAACCATTTCAGATTGGTGTTAATGAATCACTCGAATTATAATATTAAAATTCACTCTCTGTGATACATTATGCAGGCGTGTGGGAGGGGGCGGCGGTGGGACGTGGAAATAAACGCATGGTCCATTTTTCCCAAGCACCAACAAAATTTGTTTTATATATTGTATTCGATGGTAATACAAATCAATAGGTGATCGCCCCGATGAAGCGCAGCGCACCGTAATTTCGTTAAGTTATATGCTCTTCAATTAATAACGTTCGCGGATATATCGTCGCAGCAGAGACCATGTACCGTTCCCACCGTAACACTTTTAGGCGGCACAATAACAGTGGGACTGACGGTAGACGACCCCTACCCCAGACGCCTGGGTTGCTCCTCAGCGGAGCACCTTAAATAACCCAAAGTAGTGATGGGCACCATCGACTAAATTAAACTATCGACAATTTAATCGATAGTTTTTAGTCGACTGAAATTTTGCTTTATAGGTTATGTATAGATTATATCGTCAACTTTTCAGCACCATTGGTATATTTGCCTTTTAGAAATGTATAGTTCGTAGATAGAATTTCAAAAACATAAATGGTAAACAAGTTTTTTTAAACAATTACTAATATTCGATTTTTTGTAAGCTATTTAATTATGGCACTTAAAAAATTAACTGCTCTAAATTTTTTATGTAAATCAATTAGGTTATAAGCAATAATTTGCACAGTTCTTGATAATGCATAAAAAAATATATGAAAAAATTGCAATTGGTTTGCATCACGAAGAAAATAATCAAGATCCAGTTAATAGCGATCAATAGCTCGATAGTTCGAGCGAGTCGCTTGAAGCGACTAATATTAGTCGCCTGAAAGTAAACGCTTCGAGTGACTAATATTATTCGCCTCAAAGTAGTCGACGATTGAAAAAATTAGTCGACTGAAAGTAGTCGTTGGTTATTATCGACTTAGTCGATAGTGTTTAGTCGATGGTGCCCATCACTAACCCAAAAAGCTCTAATAACTCCAACACACCGCCTGTTCACATACGATTTCCTACACACCATCGTACAATTTTTAAGATCAAATAACGGACTGTCACCCTCTTATTTTTCAACGTACGATTTATTTGCTCTTACCACTTAGAATTGTTCCACTACATAAGAAAATCATCCCTGAAAAAGTTCATTGCAAACGGACAACAGGAAAGGTTGCCGACCAGGCCTTAATGACGAAAGTTGTAAAGATTTGAATTGAACAGCGACTGTATTATTTTATTTTATAGACATAATATTGTTGGGGCGCAAATTCGTTAAAAAACTATAAAACTTTGAAGAATGATGCGCAAACATCTGTTATTAAGATGTACAAAATATTATTAAAATTATATTGTTTTTTGTAAAAAAACCTTATCATTGACTTTGAAATTGTGTAACAATAGGTAAATTATTAAATGTTCACCCAAAAATCACCTTTTTTTGTTTCTAATCTGAAATTTTGTTCTTCGTACTGCTTATTAATATTAAAAACTACGGAAGTGTAGGTACTGTAAGAGATAATCAATGCTGCCAATACATTGTTTAAAAGAGTAATACTATTTTATAATTACACAGTCTCCAATTTACTGTCAACTGTAATTAATTTCCGCATATCTTCTTTTCAGTAAATAAAATTCAAGGTCTAAGGAACATATTCTTCTGTATTAGAAGTGGTTTGGCTTTCTCCAGAATGTATTGTATATGAAAGTGACACATTTCACGAGGAAACGTAACCTAAAATTCGTAAACAGTGGTTCTAAACTAGTAACTGAATACGTTCTTTTATAGAAAAACGTTGTCTCTTATTCCATGATAGTTGATGTCATTACCCGAACTTATTTTCAAATATCGAATATCAGGATGAATATGATCTCTGATAAGCAATTGTGTACAAGTTTCGAGCTAATTGCCAGCATTAAATGACAAAAGTTATCTAAAAAACCATAGGCATCTGTTTCCGCATTTAACTTGGGTTTTGCAAGCAACACCAGCTGACAAAATGGTAAAGCAAATTGGCATCAAATCTTGCAACATAACCTGTGTCAAATTGGGGGCAAAAACGGAACAGAATCTGCGCGAGCCAATTTACTGCATATGTTGCTGCCAATTTGCTGCCTATGATGCAGTTAGTGTGCGCGCAAGTTGTTTGTAGCAAATCTTGCATCAAACTTGTAGTTTATGTAGTTATATATCATAACTTTATAACAGGCGTTGGACAAAATTGGACTTTGCAGGTTTGCCTGACTGGGCGTATACTATACGTAGCTAGAATTACTTTAACACTTCTAAAGTCAGGAAATGATAGGCAATAAGATAATACATATATGTTTTATTATCATTAGAGTCACTTATTGGCGCACCTAATGATTATAAATAGAAAAAAATATTTTAATTTGTAAGAAATTATCTAAGGTTATATAATAAGGAAGTTATTCTAAAAAGTGTTCACATAAACATTTATAAATTGTTTCTATTTGTTATTTACTTAGACTTATTTTGAATTAGATTATGAAATAAAATTTTCTCTCAAATTTCAGAGACATAATTTTCTTTAAATATCATTTGTAGAACAATAAATTTTTACACTTTTTGCCACAATATTTAATTGGGTCACCAATTCAGATATGTCACGCGTTTGAAACATTATAAAATGCCATTAATTAATTAAAGGTGGTTTTAATTTTTAATTCTAGTTCACTCAACTTTTTTATCACAGAAATAAACGTTTAATCTACTTTTTCGAGATTCTGGCTGACTCTGAAGGCATTAAAATACTCCTACGTATGTATACACTAGATAACATTCGATGAATATCTACACATCATTTAAGTTGCATAATTATATTACAGAATCTTCAGGGGGAAGAAATATCGTCTATATTAATTATATTATTCGAAACAATACATCTGCAAAGCACAATTTATATATATATATTCTTTCTATTCAACCTCGGCACTCAATTAACCATTAACCCGTACCACTAGCAGGTTCACTTTGTAAAAAGGGAGAAAACCGTTAACTGTGTCACTGAGTAATTTATTATTTCTCTGAAATTCAGTATTTATTTATAAGGAAATAAAAAATTTATATTACTTCGACAACATTCACCAGTGTTCTCCAACGCCCTGTTACTGTTACTAAACAGAATTTCAGGTTTGGTACCTTTGAATATAAACTAAATTGTCACATTGTAAAATACAAATAATTACCCTTTAAATCGGCGGAAATCTATTATATCGACAAAATATTGTGGCATGTGTACTTTTTGCTAACATTTATTTCACAGATATTATTAAAGTAATGGATTAATTTAATTCATTAAAAGTAACTTTAAAATAATTGTACGTTAATTTATTGTCTTGTTTAGCTTGATTATGTTATTAAACTTCTAAGATCGTGATTCTTTATCTTCTTTCTAATTTAAATAAGGCATTTAACTTAAATCATTTTCATTTCTAATTTGTATCATTTTATACATAATTCCTGATACTATCATGTAAACTTTACAGTTGAGACGTCCAGCACATGTGATATTTGATAGTAAAAAGTGAAATGATGCATAACATTCTCGTTAAGATTTGTGATTCTATAGTATGCATCAATAGAATATTGAATTTCACGTTTAGAATTCTACAATACTGTAGTAATTATATTTTGCAATTAAATTAAGTAAAACAATATTGGTACAATTATCTCGATTTGATATGAAATAAACTTAGTTATATTTAAAACCCAAAATTTCTTAATACTTGAAGTATTATTTTTTATTTTGTTATTTTATTTTAAGTTTATGCCTAAATCTATCAATATGATTAAAAGAATTTTTACACGTAATGTTGTACCTGAATTAATGTCTCCACCTACTATAAGGCTTAATAAAATACCCTTAATAGAAGGAATCGACTGCTACATTCTTGTTAGTGTTTATAATATTTTAATAGGCATTCTTTTTACACAAAATCATGCAATTCCGAGCAATTATGATAGTTATAATTTCTTTCATCTCCGAGGAAGTTGTAATAATTCCATCAATCCGGGAAGAAATGTGTGAAATTTCTTTATCCCCGATCCCATCTCGTCGCAGGGGTGGTTGAAAAACGTTCAAAGGTAGTGCGTGGAGAATCAATCTCTGTTAGTCGAGAAAAAGTTTCGCTCACCATATACGATGTGTCGTTGACAGCAACGTTAGGCGATGGTTGATTAGAGATGCTCAGAACTCCTTGGTGTTGCGATGCACAACGCTCGACATTCCTTTCAGCTTGCCTTGGAGTAACTGAACGGCAAAGCGGTCTCCCTCTCTCGATTCGCATCGGCTTCTTTACATTCTACACCAGCCTCGATCATGGCTTTCACTTTATCCGTCGAGGAAATGGTGAACCATGAGAGTTGCCGCGGCGACGTTGCTGGTCCATTGTCGAGGACAGAGAACACCGTCACCGGTGTACTCGCAATTGTTAATAGTAAATAGTACCTATCGATTGAAACGTTTAAACACCCACAGAAGTCTATGATTCGTAGGAAAATAAAATAAAATTTTAATCTTTCAAAAGAGTACAGCCAGATAAGGGGGTCAACAGTGCCCTCACACAGATTTAGACTTGTGACATACGATTTGATAGCTTGTCAAGAAAGAACAGTCTGTGCCAAATTTTAACCCTCTAACTTGCTCTGGAGGGTAGTAATAGGGAAAATTCGGATTGTTGGTTTTTCCTGTATTTTTCCTGTATACTAACGTGCAAAAATTCTATAAAAGTTCTAACGGATAGTATTTAACGGGGCACGCGTTAGAGTTTTTTTAATGATTTTTTGGTTGCGAATCCTAGTCGAAAAAAATCAATAACGGAAAAAATGACGACAAAAGTTGTTTTCTTATTAAAGTTTTAAAAACATTAGGGTTATATAATTACAGTAACGATATATCATTACAAGTATTGTTCTCAATTTTTTGGAGATTTTTTAGTCGAGTGCGCCGTAGTTTTAAAAATCACAAACCGATATTGTCTACATTTTTTCCGTGAAAAAGTAACTTATATTTCGAATTTTTGTATTTCTTTTAGTAAGTACATATATTATACGATTTTAAATATTTCCGTATCTAGTAAAACATACATATATTATAGAAGTTGAATTAACTTAATTGAAATTATGCTGTATCCGTTATACATATACCAAAACATTTACCGCATCTTGGAAAGCGTCGTTGGTGGAGTGGTTAAAAGTTCCGACTATGGAACCGCTGCGACATTTTTTAGATGTGCTTTATGCTTCGAACAAAATATGCACTACGTTTTTATATTACATTCGTTATATGTTTTCTTAATCTCTAACATAATGACAATAAATAATATTATTGATGAAAATATAGGATAGTATAGTTATATTGTTAATGATATCATGAAGACGAAGTTTAAGAAGTTTTTATGTTTACTGTAGGTTAAAATATACGCCGCGATTCATAGTCACTACTTATTCTTAAGTAAATGCACAAACCAATATGATATATTCACAGTGGTTGCGAATATTTCGCGGCGATAGATTCGCAACAATTTAAAATGCATGGTGTCTTATGAAACTGTTCACACTAATACCGAAAAATTTCCGCAAAAATTTATCTATAAAAAATCTATCCTCGCGAAATATTCCCTGCCGCTACGAATATTTTGCGTTGGTTTGTGGAAGCCATAACGGTTGTCGGAAACGCGAAATATATCATTAACAAAAACATCGAATTTTGAAAATGCTTCTTTAATTAACATTTTCCAAACTTTTCATTTATTGACAGATTACAAAGTGAAATTACGCAATAATTAAAAATAAAAAGTGAAACCGTCGCATCGGGATTTGAACGGGGGTCGAACTCAGTCTTCATCATGAGCGCGTGAGAGAACTCATGCGCTTCTCGACGTTGAGGTTGCTTGGGATTTTGACCTGGCTTGGGCGGCCACTCTCCGAGTACACTCGGCCGTAGCGTTCAGTCGCGTTGTAAACGTGTGACGTAGGAGTTTTGCCGAGGCGCCCGAAGCAAAGCGTATACGGATAGAAGTAGAAAACACTTGTGTTGGGGAGTCGCCGAGTAGAACGTAGTGGGGCAGAGCTCACGGAGAGGATAGAATATGCTTGGTAAAATACCCACGGGAGACATGGAAAGGGTAAGCGCTCGCACGGTTATCCCACGATTCCCACGATTCAGTGAACTCCGCGAGCGATCTACCGGGTCCGGCGCTTCCAACGCTTCCACGTAGAGATGGCGTGCAAAATCACTAACGGTGATTTATCACAGTGATCGCCGAATCACGATCACGGTCGTGATTTAACTTCATTTACGACCGTGATTGCGATTTTTTTATCTTGAGTGAATTTGCTCACTGCGATCGTAAGTCCTTGATCTTTATACAGACGAACGTATTCAATATGATTTTACGATGAATTACATTACTATTTGTGTTTGTAAAAAGCAGTAGAAAAAACAAGAAATTCTAAAAGAATGATTTGCTAGGTAACATGTAGATTATAATTTATAATCATTAATTTATTCATTATTCTTCATTGTTTTTAATTATTCCTTCACTTTGTACGATATAACTCGAATTTTTGTTTTGATGTCGTTAATATAAAATATACAGATTATGTGTCGCGTGTAAAGAACTGTTAGGTTTCTCCACCAATCAGAAACGATCACGAGAAATCACGAATCACTGTGAAAAATCACCGTGATTGGGAACGAACGTGATCGAATCACGAGTGACTCACAAGTAGCAGTTCACGCCATCTCTATCTCTATAGGTTCTATGACCCCACGATCTCACCACACGGGGTCTCTGGCGCCTCCACTGGGGGTTCTTTGACATCATAATCTCACCACACGGTGGTCCCTGGCGCCTCCACCGGGGGTTCTGTGGCCCCACGAACTCATCACACGGGGTACCTGGCGCCTCCACCGGGGGTTCTATGACCCCACGATCTCACCACACGGGGTTCCTTTGCGAGGCCACCGGGGGTTCTATGACCCCGCGATCTCACCCACGGGGTCTCTGGCGCCTCCACCGGGAGTTCTATGACCTACGCTTCAATATACACGGGGTCTCTGGCGCCTCCCCCGGGGGTTCTATGACCCCACTTTTTTCACACACACACACGGGGTCTCTTACCACCTCGAACGCACAGTTTCATCTATATAGACGCATGTGACAATGTCAGAAAGAATTGCTATTTCTTAAAGAGGATTGTATACAAATAATCAAATTACAAAACGGTTTCAGTTAGAGATGGCGTGCAAAATCATCAACGGTGATTTATCACAGTGACCACCGAATCACGATCACGGTCGTGATTTAACTTCATTTACGACGTGATTGCGATTTTTTTATCTTGAGTGAATTTGCTCACTGCAATCGTAAGTCCTTGATCTTTAAACAGAAAAACGTATTCAATATGATTTTACGATGAATTACATTACTATTTGTGTTTGTAAAAATCACTAGAAAAAACAAAAAATTCTAAAAGATTGAATTGCTAGGTAACATGTAGTTATAATTTATAATCATTAATTTATTCATTATTCTTCATTGTTTCTAATTATTCCTTCACTTTATACGATATAACTCGAATTTTTGTTTTGATGTCGTTATTGTAAAATATACAGATTATGTGTCGCGTGTAAAGAACTGTTAGATTTCTTCACCAATCAGAAACGATCATGAGAAATCACGAATCTCTGTGAAAAATCACCGTGATTGGGAACGAACGTGATCGAATCACGAGTGATTCACAAGTAGCAGCACGTCATCTCTAATCACTGCCCTGGGTCCCTGAGTTGTAATCATGGCAAATGAAAACGAAGGAAGTGTGAGTGACAGAGAATTAAACCAAAGTAATATCAATACAGGAGAAGGAAATTCTCAGGATTCCCAAGATGAACTCGAGAATAATATTCGTACTGATGAAGAACAGAAAGAAAAGTTAGTAAAATTACCATTAGGTAGGATAAAAACAATTATAAAGATGGATCCTGAAGTGAACATGGTTAACCAAGAAGCTGTTTTTCTAATTACAAAGTCCACGGTAATTTTATATTATATATTACTTGTCGATATAAGTAAAAAATATTTTTTAATTAATTTATCAACTTAAGTGTTTTTCTAGAAATGTCATGAATATTATTAGACTAGTGGGCATGAAATATTATTTTTTCAAAACTTAAAGATCTGTTGTTTGTATCTAAGCAACACTTGGAAACTTAAGGATCATTTGAAAAAATGTGAAAAGTAATGTAAAACTTGTTCTTTTAAATAACAAAAGAATTTTCATGTACATTAATCTAGTATAATAAGAAATAAAAATGTATATTCTGTTGCATGACAATGTATGTACATATATATATATTATTAAATATGTTTGGTATTTCACATCTGATAAGTTATTAATCTTGTTTTTTTATAACAGGAACTTTTTATCGATTCTCTTGCTAAAGAATCTTATAAATATACAGCACAAATGAAAAAAAAGACCATACAAAAACGGGATGTAGAAAGTACAATCAATAATGTTGATGCACTTGTATTTCTGGAAGGAATGCTAAATTATACTTAAGCAGATTCTATGTCAGGATATAGCATAATATTAGTGTATGTTTTATGATAAAATATTTTTGTATTTAAAAAGGAATGACTAATAAATATTGTAAAATATGTAAAAAATTCTTGATTCCACTATATGCATGTGATAAACACAGTAAGAATTGATTTATTAATGTTTATTTATACATAACTAATTCAAATGTTCAATGCTATAATATAGATATATTTCATTTGTATAGATGAAACTAATTTTTATATTTCATTATAATTTTGCTGTATTAATTCATTTAGTAGTCAAAATTTCTTGTAATAAAAATACAAAACGTGCATGGAAATTACACAAAGGTGCTTTATTATAAATTCTCGAGCACAAGACACAGTTACCTTTTTCATTAACAGAGACAAAGGTATCAGCTAAAAATATTTTGCTATACTTGTACTAAAATTTGTAAGCTGTATGTTAAATGTGTATCTTCATTATAAAACTTGTTTAATACAAAGTTATATGATTTCATTTGCACATACAAAGAATTGCACAACTTTATTATTATACAAATATAACATAAATAAAACTTTTTAATAACACATTCATACATTTCTACAAGTATTTTACTTACTTTCGTTAACTTTATTATTTGTATTATACCTTGTATGATGCAAAATGAAATTCATGAATTATAATTACCTTCAAATTGAAATTTAAATAATAGAGCATTTGCATGCAATTTAATATAGTAAATTCGTTAATATTCTTAATTTACATGTCAAAGAACGCGAAATGGAGTATTATAAACATCTCTACATAGTACATAACATAAATAACACAGAAAGAAAAAAATCAGTCTTATTTTATATAACGTCAATTATTTAGCTTTTATAGTTTACCAATTATAAATGTTCAGAGATCATGGCTCACAGTAAATAATGATGATGCAGAAACACAATGTTCATGAACATGGACTGTTGTTTCTATAACATTGTAAAAATATACATCAATTACATGTGGAGGATACTACTTTCAACTGTCGTTAAGAAATGAACAAATTTTAAGTATGTTATAAAAATTCGTGTAATATATAATGAAAAGTTTCTATATACTCATATCGCATAGTTATGTTTGTAGTTTACTAAAAGTAAACATGTTATCTGAAGCACTTTGAGATATAGAAATTCTAAATTCCTTTCATTGCTTTTTAGTTTCATTAACATGGGAGCAAATTTATGGTACAGCTTTAGTTTGCACATTACGTTAAAATACTACTGTAATATTAATAGTGAGTATTATATTTGGGGTAAATTAAAGGGCCATTTAAGCTTTAACAGGCATTGTAATTACTAATTCTTGAATGCTTTTCTTGTTCAATTTTCAATCTACATTATAAATATAATATGGAAACAATTAATAGTCCACCTAGAATTTCTGTCATCTTTGAGATTGAAATTAATATTTTCTTTCTTTGTAATTGTAATTTATAATACATTTAAACATTTCTATTACATTTAATATATTGTACTAATATGAACTCTTATATTTTTAAATAAATTTTTATTTTAAAACAAATTTCATGTATATCTTTTAAGACTCTTTTTAATACAATTTATAAATTGTGCTAATGTCACTGAATGTTATCCATTTATTTTAGCAATATGAAAGTTCATTAAAGAAGTATGTATATTACTGTGTAATCGTACATAAAAGATACTAAAAGATGAAGTAACTTGTCAAGCTTTTTACTTCTTACGTCTAGCTTTACGTCGCTTACAATCCCTAAAGGAGTTTTGATCTCCTGGTGCGCTTGAAGTTCCGGATTTACTATGGTTGTACAAATTATTTAAAAAATCTTCGAAATCTGCTTCACTGTTTAACAGAAAAATTAATATGAATTCATATGAACTTCTACCGCGCGTTTTTACCATAATAATGTAAATTAGTGTAAAATATTATTATATATTAAGTATTAGTGTAAATATTAATATGTACCTCGTGTTCGGATCTATTTGTTGACGCTTTTTACCACTGTTGGCTGCTTGCGATGGTGGTCGCTGGCCCAGAACAATTCTATACTGAATGCTATGTGTATTTGCTCTTAGATGTTTTAAATTACCAGCTTGACAAGCTGCCCAATCTGTGACATCATATACTGCACCTTCCATGCAAGCATAATAATGCCAAAGGAAACCCATTAAACGAGACTCTGCCCAAATGTCACCCTATTTAAAAGTTTTATAATCTATGTAGAAGCAAAATTCAATGAAGTGTTTGTATGAAAACTGTTTTAATATTTACTTCTTTTGCACTGTGACGTATTTTACACTGAGCACAAAATCGCGCTGCGTAACAAGGACGTTGCGTAGGAATTCTTTTGTGCCTCAAACCACAGTTCGTGCACCTTATTGTATTTGCTGCTTGTTCCATCTTTCTGTGAAGTTGAGAGAGTAAATCGCTTAATTCACCCCAAGCTGCTTCTACTTGTCTAGTTTGATCAAATGCTTGTCTGCGTTCCTAAAATATTAAAAACACAATATAATTATAAGTAATTTTTACCTTAAAAACAAATTTTTCGTTATGATCATTATGAATAACATTTATTGTAGTTTCACTGTAGTAAGTATCGAAGATAATAGTACCGGTTCGCCAATTATGTCAAACGCGTGTACAAGTATTTTGAATGCCTCCTCTGCACCTGGCTGATTATTTTTGTCAGGATGAACTAAGAAAGCTTGTCTCTTGTAATACTTTTTAATATCATCATCTGAACACGTTGGTGTGACCCCGAGTATACTATACGGATCCTTTCCTTTACAAGCTAATAATCTTTTCATAGCTTCTTCACTAGTAGTAGGTAATGCAATATTTGTTTCAAGACTACCACGTATCCAGTTACTGTTTTCTTCTTTCTCTTCGCTTTTAGCTTTTATTTTATGCCAAAATGCAAACTTACTATTTCCAAACCAATTATCTAATTGTCTACCAATAGAATTCAATATACGAATTTTTGAAAATGTCATAGCTAAATAGACCCATGAGTATTTTAAATACAGTATGGTATAATACCATCCACATTTACCACTGAAACAAAAATGAACAAATATCTCAATATATTTTTAAAGTTTTTAAAAAAATACAGGTATTCTTAAGCTATATTATATTGTAATGTAAATTTTAAAGTCACATACTTTTGTATTATATATTACTTACAGTTGAATAATAAGATTGGCACTCATACTAACTACATCAGATACTAAGTGTAGTAACCAATAAAATATTTTTAATCCAATTTTATACCAACGACTGGCATACTTATTTAAATTTTTACATAAATCTTTCACTGGAGATTCTCGATTCTCTCTTCTGCGGTTTCTTTGAGCTTTTTTAATTTGCTGTGCTTTTTCAGCTTGAAAACGTTTAACATTCTTTTCCTTAGTAATTTTCTTTTCTTCTTTACATGTTTTATTTACAACTTGTTGATTTTTTTCAATTTTATCAGGAGAAACAGTTTGACTGGAAGTATTTATTGTGTTCAAATTATTATTTATTTGTATAGGTCGTTTTGGAATATTTCCAACCAATTTAGGATTACTATTTTGAATTTTTGAATTATTAAGTGTCTCTCCCTTTTCTGGTTTCTTAAAAGGTTTAGAAATCTTTTTCTTTTCGAATTGATTAGATCTGTCAAATGTATTTATTTCTTGAGATTCAGTTTGCAGACCAAGATTGTCTAATGATACCCAGCGTCTTGGAAGGGTTGAATTATTTTTCTCTAAAACTTTTCGTGGTACTTGTAGTTTTGGAGAATAATGGTCATCACTTCCAGACGAATTTTGTCTCTTTAACACTGCAGATTTGGATTTATTTTTTGAGCTTTTATTAGAAATCTTTTTGTTTACAGATTCAGGTTTTGGTTTCATAGATTGAACTGTTAAAGGAGATGGTGGAGTAGGAGCAGATTTTGTTAATACATCTGAATAAGATGGTCGCATAGGTTTTACTTCTGCTATTGCACGAGGCTTCTTATGTTGAATATCTGTAGAACTTCTAGGCAATTCCTCGGGTCCTCTGACATCCGTAGCTGATTGTGGTAATGGTGTTACATTTGGAGAGATACCAAAGGGACTGTATGTACCAGACTGATTTGGTACCCAATTACCAACTAAATTATCAATTAACTGTTTGCCATTGAAGTTCTGTGTTGGCAAATCAGATGGTACTGTAATGTGTCTATCATTAAAAAGACCATATTCTCGATCAATTATGTTTTGATTTCTGTACGATGTTATGTTTGAAAGCTGACATTGCTCTGCCATGATTTGAGAAGCATTTCCATATATTACATTAATGTAATTGCCTCCTCCAACATCTATTGTACCAATTAAGTCATTATTTTCATTTATACCTAAATGATTTACTGTTTGAGATGGAAAATAAATTGATTCTGTTGTAGAATCATAATTTGACATATCTTGCATGTACAGATTACTCATTGGAGTCATTGATTGCATTGCAGATGAATTAGAATGCGGAGACTGATTACTAATATAATGCCTTGCCTGGCTTGAAGAATAATCTCCCCAATTATGAGATGTAGTTTGTTGTGTATTTACACCAAACTGGAGGTAATGACCATTAGAACTTTCTAAATCGGCAGTCATAGTTTCAATAATTTTATCTAAAGATATACGTTTAAAACCAGGAGGTGATTGTTGTTGCTCTGCCATGTTGTAATTTCTATAAAAGAAAAGAACAATATTTTTTATATATAACATACCTGTACACATAATACACATTTCATGTATTGTATAGTGTATCAGAGTAACTGAGAATAGTTAAACATTTTGTATGCGAGTAAACATATGGAAAAAAAGTTCCTAACAACGTTTTTTAATACTAAGGGGGACATTACATGGTGTGTACAGTTTTTCTGTAGGCGCAATGGTGGGGGAAATTTTAAGAACTTGATTTTTTTAAAAAGAATGTTATACCCTTTTATTTACAATATGGTAGTGCATTTTGATACGAGTTGAAAGAAGTTCAACATCATGTATAGTTGCCTCAAAGATATAGCGGTAGCAATAAACTTAACCGACCCTTATGTTTATGTTTTGAGCGCCAGGTCCCGTGATTCGATACCTTGAGGCGTACAAACTGTACTCGACAGTCGTTCAGGGGCATACAACGTTAATGTGGGATTGGATCTTCTTTTTTAATGTAATTGTACCACAAATGTTTGCCATTTCAGATTTAAAATACTTCTCGCCCTCTTATTTTTTATGAAAACTTATGTAAACATAAATTTTCGTTTTAGTCCTTGGAACCCTGTAGCTGAAAGCGGTGTACAACCCCGAGTGTGGTGGAACACAATGAGCCCCTGCTAATCGAGGACTAATGGTTAAGAGTCGGTTGAATTTATTGCTAATGCTACATCTTTGAGGCAACTAGTCGTCCATCGTATAGACAGTTGTACATTAGCGAGGCCCAAGGACTCAGGTCAAAGTCACTCAACTCTCTGATTAACTAAACCTTGCTTGATCCTGCAATGAACATGAAACAGACCTCACAGTTTTTGGCCCAAAATTTACGCTGTGAAAAAACTGACACAGATATTTGGAAATTTAGGTACAGCAGCTTTAATGTAGTCTTGCAATTAATAACTATGTTCTTTGTGACAGTGCAGGGATGATATTGTCAGATCACATGGATATAGTTTCTAGAATTCTTGCAGAACACCCAAGCAGACAGTCTACCAAATACCTTCTTTTCTTTAGGGTTACCTTAAAACAAATAGGGTTTAATATGCCCGTTAACAATGCAAACAAGTTACATATAAAGATCACTAGATGTCTGTGGAACAATAACACTGAAAATGTTAAAAAATATTGGAAAGGAATTTTTCAAACAAATAGAGTAATATATACTTGTCAATGATAGACACATTGAAGGAAAAAGGAATTTCTGCTACAATACTTGGTACTCCAAATCAAACACAGTGTTAAAAGCAAAGAAATCTCATTAATGTATTGAGATTTACAACCTCCATTGACATTTAACTATTTAGTGGTGTTTACAATAGTGTTAATTTTGTTACAGCAGAAATATTGGGCCCAAAACAGTAAGGTTAGTTGCACATGAAATGAAATTTTGAATGAAAATACATCAAGCTGCACTTCTTTTAAATTGTCTCAAAAAAAGATATCACATTATAAATAAAAGGGTATGTCATTCCATTTAAAAGAATCAAGTTGACCTTGAAATTTCTCCAACCACTTCACTTACAGAAAATTAAAATGAACTGTGTAATGTCTCTGTGTATCAACATACTTTTTTAGGAACAATTTTTTCATATCTTCACTCGTTTACGAATTAGTTAACTGTTCTGAATTAAATAAAAACGATTGTAAAATAAAAAATATGTTCAAGAAGAATAGGTCTTACGAAATATAAAAATTTGTACTACAGTGCTTAGGTAAATTATGCTGTGATAGATGTTGAATTTTAACAAAACTTTATTAAACTTGGGAACATTGAAATTGATAATACATGAGGTACAAGAATCATGTATAAACATTCAGTCATGAAAGATGTAATTTTACCGTGAATTTAATTTAAATTGTTTAATAACCTAAAACAAGTATTTCCCAATGAGATCATAGCAGGTGCAAAAATGTAATACTTACTTTCATTGACAATTATACTAGCCTTGAATATCCATTTACATTGTATTTAAAACACACGACTTCTTAAAGCATTGCAAGAGAAATATCATATTTATGAAATACGTGAAATTTTGAATTATATACCATACGGTTAATACAAAATCAGTCACTGTATTTGTCCGTCGTGGCTGCACTACTCAGATTCATAAACGGATCACATAAATAGTTTTCTTTCTGTATACACGGTATACACCATACACCATCCATATATGATACATGATATGTATGTATACACACATATGATGATGATGATGCTGATCTGATGACGTGTGTGCGTGTGTGCGTGTGGTGTGTATGTACATGACAAATATGTATACTCACGAGCAACTCGGCTTCCGTAGGGAAAAAGCGGTGTAGGGGAAGGGTCCCCCACTACTTAGTCTCGGAAGTCACTGAAACTTATCCCACATTTACATGAGAGAAATACATTCAATTTAACATTTATTTCAGTACTTGAACAAGCAATTCATGAAATTCATTTATCATTTTTGACATGTCTATACTGTTTGAAATTTAATTATAGATCGAAGTTAATTTTTAATTACTTTGAGTTTTGAGAACTTTCTCCCATCAAGCGCAACGGAAATTAGCAGTGTTAACAAAATTCTCAGGGCAATAGTAAAATTTAGGAAACAAGACATGAAATCAACATTTACGATATTTTATAAAATACATATAAAATACGACATTGTACAGGGTGTAACACAAATGTTGCTGGTCCTTGAAATGGGTTACTGGTGAGACGATTTGGAACAAGTTTTTCCTTAGCAAAAATGTTATCCGAGGCTTTGTTAACCAGATATTAACGAAAAACCCCGACCAATCAGAGCGCAAGTCTGCCGGCTGAGTTCCCGCGATAACGTTGACTACGCGCTGCGATTTGTAGCCAACGCTACGGCGGGAACTCGGCCAGCAGACTCTCGCTCTGATTGGTCGGGGGTTTTCGTTAATATCTGGTCACGGTTGTATATGCAGGTCCAGGAACTCCCATGGTGGGGGTGATCCCTTAAAGAAACAATGACGGCAGCTGACGGTCAGAATGCAGCGACAAATGTATATGAATCTGACATACTGCCTGATCTTCCATGATATCAGATAACATGCATCTGTCGTCAGTTTGATCATAGACGTTACGCAGATCTATTGTTCGATTTCTGACGTCAAATCATGTCACTGGGCCTGTTGTATTTCTGCTACTGGTTTACTGATAGATTTGATGCAGCAGACCCCTAGCAAATCTGTAGCAACTCTGTACATCAAATCTGCAGCAAAATCTAGCAATATCTGTTGAGAGCAGATTTGGCTGACCGGGTGATTATCGGGGTATGATTATTAATAATATGAATATTTTAAATTCTATAATTTCATGATTTGGTGTATTCTTTTTTTTGGTACAAAACAAATATTTATAATAACTTATATTGACTTACGCTTGTTTAATACAAAAAGTACATTTCAAGTAAAACAATGTGTAAAATCATTTATTATATTGTATCATAAGTTATATTGTAAATAATTAATAAATTAATAAATAAAATTTTTAAATATAAATAATAAGCTTGTCATCAACAGAATGCCAGAATATTGTATTTTCATTGATGCATTGCAAGGTTCTTTTCCTCTTCTGGATTGACAGGCACATGCCTCAAGTATATGACCATCCAGCTATAAGAAAATATAAACATAACATTTTTTCATATTATTACAAATAATGGCAATATTCAAAGTGGACATAGTTATTGCCCCACCTTGTATATACTAGACTGCTATTTTACTTATATAAAATATACCCAAAAAGCATCTACAGAAGTATCTCATTCTGCATATACACAGAAGCAATATGTGCATTTACATGTACGCTCTGGGCGCGCACGCCAATTGAACCTGTCAATTTTGACATACCAAACCAACCTCTCGATATGACGTATAACCGCGTAAAGTTTGAATCAATCGTTAAAAACATATTTTGTTAAAAGCATGCTACCTTAATTACTACGAGTCAATACATGTATTCTTTAACGATACTACACTCACTACAGATTGCTTCTGCGCACTTTTTGGGTACATTTTATATGAGCGATATATATGGAAGTAGTGTAGTATACATACAGCAGTAGAAGCTGTAATTCCATAAAAAAAAACACTTACGTTCTGTTGATAACATCCTGATGTAACAGCTACCATTTGATCTTCTACTATTTTGCCACAAAATGAGGATGTGTTCTGAACTAAGTATGTACATTTAAATTTAGCTTTATAGGAATTATTTTGATATTTTTTTCATTTAAGTGTAACGCACTTACTGTTATTATTGAATATAAAAGTGTATTTTACACAAACATTTCCAGTTGTTAAAGGACATAAAGTTCCATCTTCTCCCTCATTCTCCCAGAATTCAATTGTATTTGGTGGTTCCTCTAAGAGTTAATAGTTTTACTAAATTCTTTTATTGTTGATGAAAATTCATTAAAGAAATATATATAAGTTTTTAATTGTATTCGTCATTCTAATGAAAATAGAAGTGCTTATGAATAATTATTTTGAGATAAGTGTACATAGTTTTACCTGTTATGAATAAAGGTTCAATGCAAGGAATACCTTTGAGCGATGTACAATTATATTTTTCAGGTCTATTATGGAATATTGGTGCTATCCATCTGTATTGATAGCAATATGGTTTATCCTTGTCAAAGGCTATAAATTATAAAACAGATCAATTTTCAATATTTTCAAAATTTTGTAAAATTTAAATAACTCAGATGTAATTACCCGATATTAAAGATACTATGCAAACAAGTAAAGATATTCTTAAATTAAGTCTCTTCATTTTGAGATTTTGTATTCACCTCCTTATGTTTAGTACTATATACTGATGTGAAAACTGATTTGATTCACTTTGAAGCTACAGCATATCTGATAAATACAATCACCGTCATAGTGACACATCACTTATCTGATAGTACACCTATACTGTACTATGATAATATCTATATTGTAACACTATTCATTTATACAGAAGGAATAAAGCACTGTCTATCAGTATTACAGGTAGAGAAAATCATATTTAAAATATTTGTGATTATTAAAATGATTAACACATATTAACATATTTAAAAGATTATAATTCTTTGTAATAGTAATGTCATGAGTATGAGGTAAGTAAAAATCAGCCATTATAAAAATATTCTTAGCCTACTGATAAGGATAAATATTCTTTGAAATTTTTTTATACATTTTGTTTTTGATGTATCAAAAGTGTTTTTGTTTGTTCGTAAAAGAATTATTTAGAAATTATACAGGTTTTTTGTTAAAATTCATCATGCCTGGCTAATGCTTCTCCGAAATCAGTTGCTTGGGAACCAACAAAAATATCATATTTTTCTAATATTTCTTCCTTTGTAAGTTTTTGATCTGCATCTGTATCTGCTTCAAATATCAAGTGTCGAGATTCAGCCTCTGCATGATCAAAGTCTGCTGGAATAATCCATGTTTTAACCTATGAAAACAAAAAATTTATTAAATTTTCTCAATACATATGCGTACATTATTTTCTCATGTACAACGATATCACCTCTTCAAAGTCTAAGAAACCATCACTGTTTTTGTCACGGTACATAGAAAACTGCTCCTTTTCATTTTTCACCCATTCTGGTTCTTCTTCACCCTCTGTACCTTCATACATGTCACCTGTAATAAAATTACATATTAGTTCCTCTGAAAAAAGTAATTATTAAAAGTATTTTATAAATTTTTTATTAAAAAAAAATCTCAAGTCAGTGTTAATTATGTATATGAAATCAAAGAGGAAACAAAATGTGCACCAATATATTCTGAAAGAGATATTTTGCCATCTCCATCTTTATCAATATCTTCCATAGTTTCCAATACCACAACATCTTTCATATGAGCAGCCTCTTCTGCATGAAGAAAAGAAGCAAATTCTTTCTTTGTAAGAGCATCATCAGCATCTACATCTGCAGCTGTCCAACGTCTGCGATCTTTCTTAAACATGGCTATATACGAAAAGGAATTATCTTTGGACTTTTCATGATTTTCAACTTCATGTTCATCCATGTCTCCATAGACCATTGCCATATACTCTGTCCATGGAAGTTTTTCTTTTTCCTCTGGATTGTGAGATTTCCATTGTCGGTTAACATTGTCTCGTATATAACGTCTTTGTGTATGCAATATCCAATCTTTAAGTTCTTCTCCAGTAACATAACTATCTTTATCCTTATCTATTTTGTCAACTATTATTCCTAATCTTCTTGTGCTTTCTTCAGGGGTAAGCTGATCAAATGTTTTTGCTTCTTCACCAAGGAAAGCTTCATGATCATAGGCTGGGTTATGTTGAGAATTGACAAAATGGTCCTCTTCACTTGGCTCCTACATTAAAATTTGTTTTAAGAAATATGAATTAAAGACAAATTAAATATGCAATACTTGCAATAAAGAATCATTGAGAATATAAATATTCCTTTTGTTACAAGAGCTAGTATAAAAACAAAATATTTTGTTTTATAATACCGGAAAGAACATACTATATTACTAAATAAGAAAGATTAATACAAAGATATACTAAACAAGGTTATGTGTAAGAAATCCATAATTTTGTGAAAATAAATAGTACTTGAATTTTTTAGTATTAAGTACAACGATTTATTAGTATATGCATTTTTAAGATTTTTATGTTTTAAAAGCGGAAGACATACCTTGTTAATAACTCGTGACTTGGGTTCGTTCTCCGGCTTTGGGATCGCTGTCGCCAAGACGGAAAATCCGATCAAAATTTGAAGAAGCATGAGTTTATGCATAACTCACGCAAATACAAAATGAAGAAAGGATACCGAAAACCTGCAAATAAAGCAAATTTTGTCGATATTAAACGCTAAGAAGCGTCAACGACAATGTTGACGAAAGAAATTTCAGAAGCAGCCGTTCAGCTTAGTTGAGCTTAGTTGGCTGCTTCCACATCAGCACAACTTAATGTCTTGATTGATGCTGCATCCCCTCTTTTCAGCTACATATTCGTTTCAGAAATCATTTCTGATGTTAATGTTGATTTCGGACGCCTTTGTTCCACATCATCGTAAACATCATGACCGAGTTATATATGTATATATTTAGATACATTCGTGGTATAATGGATATTCGTATGCTATCAAAACAACCCGCCTATGATTACGAATACATAACTGGTTCACGTGATTGTAAAACTGTTACCGATGAAGAAACTATAATAAGTACAAGGGGCAACTCACAATCAGTTAAAGTTCGAGTATTCATTGCAAAATTCTTTTTTCCAAAGGCTCTTAATCATACCCGGATTTCATTGCAGATGTAAATTCCAAAATCCGCCATGTTAAGTAAAGTTTGCATAGCATTACAGATTTGAAAAGTAAATGTTATTGCAGGAGTGATTTTAAAAGTAATTTATTCAGTAATCTTTACTTAAATTGTAGTACATTTGGTCATTTAATATGCATATCAAAATCTACGTTTTTATATTAACATGTAATGTCAGAATCTACAAACGTTTTAACAATCTTTGAAAGTGTTTTACTTTCTGTGTAATATTTTCAAATTACATTTTCCTCATCCATTGTTATTAATTTCTAGAAAGAACATAGAAAATTAGAAGTAAAAGAATGATATTTTTTAATTTGACTGCTAGGGCAGAATACATTTGTAGCAATCTTTAAAGACGTAAACTTTGCCTAACAACTTGTCTTCTGTATAATTTGATGGAATGTACTAAGGATTTCGAAACATACGTATATTTTTTTAATTAATTGAAATATTGTAAGGTTGTTCTTTAAATTAGAAGCGTAGAGTTCAACTACTCGAAGTCAGCGCTGGATTAAGGTGGTTGCGTTTAGGGTTGCATTGTTCGTTATAATCAAGCGTTCATTAGGATTAAATGATATTTAATTCTACTTAGAATAAATTTAAATTCTTGAAGATTAATGTACTTTATTGTATGTTGCATTACAACACTTTTGCCCCCCCCCCTCCTCCTCCGCTTTTCAACTAAGGGGACCATCGAAGGTTTAATAGTCTCGGGCCCCAAGAAATCTTAATCCGAGCCTGCTCGAAGTGTGGTAATTATCAACGTTAATTAAGCTGTCGTCGTCGTCGTCCAGCTATGAAAAAACAACGCCCATGGAGTCTGTATACATCCGGAACCTCAAATCTATATTTAAACCCTACCCTGATAACTCATCGTGTACAAGTTTCGAGCAAATTGCCAGCAAATAATGACAAAAGATGTTTAAAAAAACATAGCCATTTGTTTCCGCATTTGGCTCGGGTTTTGCAGGTAACGCCAGCTGACAAAATGGTAAAGCAAATTGGCATAAAATCTTGCAATATAACCTGTGTCAAACTGGGGGCAAAAACGGAACAGAATCTGTGCGAGCCAATTTGCTGCATGTATTGCTGCCAATTTGCTGCATATGTTGCTGCCAATGTGCGCGTACGTTGTTTATAGCAAATCTTGCATCAAACTTGTAGCCATAACTTTATAATAGGCATTAGACAAAATTTGGTTTTGCAAGTTTGGCTGACTGGGTACGTCCGTAAAAACATTTCAATTTCCTGTGGAAGATTGCAAGGACTTCAAAATTTAATTCATTTAACCCAAGAAGGATTGTTTTTCATGTATCGCTATTCGCTATAGTTGAATACATCATTCGATAAACGATATAATGTAATTGAAATTTAAATATAAGATAATTTATTTTATGTTTATATTTTACAAATTTATTCTATATAATTATTACATTACAATTAAAAAATATAATGTATGTTAAAAAAGTAAGATGTATACTCCGATTTTCATAAAATCTGGTAAAATTGTCTCAAATACATACTTCCAAATGATCATATGTAAAAAACTTTCTGGTACAATCGACAATTAACGGAGGTAAAAATAAAATACTAAATATATTTTTATATAATGAACGCAGGACGTGTCGTAGCACCCAGAATCTACACAGAAGGATTCACCTCAGATAGCAGACAGACGGCTTAAGACGGCTTAAAGGCGCTTCAGACCTAAAATAGCCGTAAAATGGGCGTCTTCAAGACGTCATATGGTATTTGGGCCTTATGTACATGCAACTGAAGTTGTGATATACAACGTTTCGTGGCAACGCAAGAATTTTATCTAAAACTGATCCGAACAAGTTGTTGTATGTGTAACCCACCAAACAATGCGATACAAAACACACTTTAGCGGGATGCAGGGTAGGGCCTTTGCCTAAACTGACAATGACTAATTACCGCATTATTTCAGTGTTATATCAATTAACTTCCAAATGCGCCAAAAAACTTTTTACATGCGTTCATTTGGAAGTATTTGAGACAATTTTACTGAATTTCATGAAAATCGAAGGGTGGACCTTTTCGGAACTGCAGCCAAAATGTACAAGTATTACCTAGTTATTTTAAGTCCAACCAGTAATATTGTTTATATTAAATATAAAATATTAATTCATTATTAATTATAAATAATAAATATTCTAAGTAAAAGGCTGGATAGATAAGCCATTCAATTGTTCGTATTCGATTAACGTAAACTAATTAAATAAAATAAACACATGTACATGTTACATGTTACCTGACAGTGTTAAGTTCAATTCGGTTAAACCTCATCTATTAACACTTTTATTTCTGTGCATCCAACTCACGTTTTTATACTTTATTTTTTCTTCTTTTTGTACTTTTTCTCTTCCTTTCTCTTCCTACTTATGTTGCAATCACTTAAAGTTGTATAATTAAATTGAATCATTATTATTTGTACATACTGTAGTACACATAATGATTTTGTATCGTGTAAAGCAATTTGCCTAGCACCTTGTGTTAATATCAAAACAAAACCTATCATAAAGAATAGATAATCATGAAGAAACGTAGGTTTCTTTCTTTTATTAAGTTCTACATGTTATGTATTTCCGTCATTAAGTTCTACCAAATGTTTTTGTATTTATAAGTAAACGTTTTTCAGTAGTATACAATATTCCACTTTTCGAGAATACAGAAACGATTTACATTTCGAAAAGACCATAACAGACAACGTTCCTTCTTTGAAATTTGATTCTTCAATGACAATTTCTGTAGGGTAGATGACTCACTTGCAACGATTTTTTTTTATCTAGGACGTGCTTATCCAGTTATCTGATATTTGTCGGCGATAAAGAGAATACTACATAGGTGGAAGGTTCAGGTGTCTGTCGACGAATGCGTCCATAACTACGCTGCCCACGTTTTAATACTATCTCATTAAGTGACTCTTCCGAAAAAAAAGTTTTCATTGTGTTTTGCAAGTATATTTCGGATATATTTGTATTGGAACCGATAGTTCGAAACAATGGGTGCCAAAACTTCCGGGCCCAAATTGGAGCAACGGATTCAGTGTATAAAATTTACCATCTTTTGCTTAAATGCTATCATATGGGTAAGCTAAAAAATTGAACATAAATAATAATATATTCGTCGATAGAATTAACATAAAAATAAGAACTTTCAATTATTTTACAGTTACAGAAATTGTCATATAGATTTTTCTGTTTTTTAATTAAAGTTACTTGAAAATGACATTGTGACCAGACTATGAAAGCAGAAATTTCATATGTTATTCATATCGATTGTACAATTTTTATAACTTTTTCACTTTAAATATTATTGAAACACCGTACACAATTTATATAAAAAGAAATCATTTCTATACTGTGAATAATTCTTAGCGTCATCCATATAGTGCTACATATGTATGTATTAGAAATGTGTCTACGGAGGAAATTTAGGTTGAAACGCTTCTTATTGCAACATGCATGCATCCTCGTTACATTCGAATCAATGTGAGTCAGTCACGGCGTACCAATCATATCAGTGTTTATCAGCCATTGGCGTAACTAGGATTTTTGTCTGGGGGGCTAGATCCCCTGACTTTCGCCCATAACACTCCCCATCAGGCACCTATATGTATTTTATACCATGTATGTACGTGGGTTGTACAAAATAAAGTTACACATTTTACCATAATTATTTACATATATATTTAACATTGAAGCTAAGAAAGGAAAGATATAAATACAATTCTTAAAAATAACAAAAATACGGATAGAAAAAAGTTTGGAAATTGATTAAAAGCTAGAGTATGTTATGTACAGATATATATAAATCTATATAAGCTTCAATTTGTTGTTTTTCTGTAAAAATATGTTTTGCATTCTCGAGCGCTAGTTTTCTTATTGCATTCGGCCCTTCCATTGGTGTTACAAGATTATTAGTTACAGTAGAATGTTAAAATAAAACATCTTAATTCTAATACAATTTTGTTTAATACTTTAATATGATGAGGATAGTATTGTATTTTTTGTATTCAGTTGCGTTGCATATTGCACTTCGGTCTAAGTATTTATTTCTTTTAACATAAGATTTTACTAACTCACGAATATTTTTTTACATATTTCAATAATTTCTATACAGAGGGGGGGGGGCAGTCCACATTCTGGGACCTATCTAGTTACGCCGATGTTATCAGTGTGACGAATATGAGACCTGAAGAATTAAAACATTGAAGTATATAATAAAATATTTGTGTCGACTTTACTGTTTATTGAAAACTTTTCTTCCGTTAACTACAATGTACTACATTTTTAACCCAATTTCTTTTATAAAATCTGATTTATTCTAATCTGATAGTTAATATTTATAAGGTCATTTTATATTGTTACGTCGCCATATGATTTTTTCGTAAAATTCAGGTACTATACGTATACTACATCAGATATTAACACGTTAAAGATTAGAAAATCCAATTGAAAACAAGAATTTGTTGTTAATTGCTGAAACCGAAGACACATTTAAGTGAACTTGTATTTGTGTACCTCTTCTGAAATTTGCGTGTCTTTTTTATTAGTTACTCGGCAGCTCAATGTTCGGATTGTGCATGTGGCTAAGGCTGGATCCAGGTTTTCAAGAGTGGGTGGATTTCCTTGATATCTATGAATTTTACATTGGCATCTACATTCTACTTGTTGCCTCAATACTCATCGTAATTATCACGTTCATTGGATGTGGCGTTGCCCTTATGGAACATGTCCTTGGCCTTTTCATTGTAAGACATAAATATTACAGTACTACGCCTACTAATTGAAACTATGTAAAATGCATACAACTATCTTTCAGAATATTCAATGTACACAGATATTACAATTTTTTATTTCGTAATTATCCAAAATATTCCGAAAGTTGACCGTTATTGCGTAGACGCCAGGAGGTACATTAAAACACAGTTACATTACAAATTTGCATTTAATGTTTTTTAGTTTGTAGGTCTGCAATTATTGTGCTATGTTATGGGGTTGGCAGGAACAGCAATACTCCTTGATTATTCTACTTACGACAGTCACATCCAGCCTCTTATACGAAAATCTATGACTGCTCTCATCAACAACTATCATGATGACAGAGCAACGTACATTCTACAATTGATTCAAGAAAGTGTAAGTGTACCTATTATATATATTTGTGATTGTAGAAAGTATATATCTTTTACTTACAATATAAACTTTTTATTTATAAGTAGATATTGTTCATAATTATCATTTAAACGATGCTACGTATTAAAAGAAGTCGAACACTGTAACGTTTCTGAAAATATTTTCAGTAATAGCGTGTAAAGTAAACGAAAAATAACGAAAGAATGAATACTCTTTCTTGAGAATCTAATTCATAAAATCGTATATTTTAATTAAATGAAGTATACTAGTAACCTAAGTTTCACAAAAGTTTTTTGCGAATATCTAAAAAATTAAGTCCGAGCGACGGGTATATGTATAGGGTATAGTTGTTCAGGATGTTGACCTTGACAACATATGTCATAGTCAAGGTAATCGAAGCTGGATCCCCTTTTGTAAATAATTACTCAATTTTCGAATAGTTATGAAGAATAGTATAATTATAATGTCGTTTAGTGTATTCTCGTATTCATTTAGTGAGCAGCGATTACTAGTTTAGAATTAACCAATAGATTTAAAAATAGATCGGCTGCTGTGGTGCTGATGGACCAAGGGACTATTTGATTTTGAAGAAACCATTACCCACGGAATGTCGAGATACGGTTACTGGGAACGCCTTTTTTCACGGTTGCGTTGAAGAGATTTCTTGGTTTTTGGAAGGCAGATCAGAGTGGCTGGCTGGTCTGGCACTGGCCTTGTGTTTGCTTCATGTAAGTAATAAGCATACGTATGCGCGCACACACACATACAAACACACATACCTTAAACAATCCATCGACGCTTCCAGTAGCCCTGCCACAAATTACCTGAACATAAACTAAAGACTACGCGCCTATATGCATTAAGTAGCCGCGTAGGCTTCTTGCACTCCTATATATAGAAATATACTGATTTGTTACTGTTGTCTCAGTTAATTGTCAATTGTGTCCAAAAAAACTTTTTACATATTATGTTTATTTGGGAGTATATATTTGGGACGATTTTACCAAGTGTCATGTAAATCGGAGAATGGACCTTTTCGGAACTACGTCCCAGATTGTTAGTAACTTTCAAATTATTCTTCTAAAAACTAGATTTTCTACCGAAAATATGTTATTCCTCGTTTTCAATTAAGTTGGCATGTAGAATCACGGTCGTTTTACGAATTAATGTTATTTGCTATCGCGCTTCAAACGCTATGGCCTGTGATACTATCATTTTTTGAAAGAATTTCTTTGTAATAATATTTCCATTAAATATTATGTATTTTATAATCTAATCAAACATTTGTTTTTTGCAGGTGATAATCGCTGCTCTAAGTTTGGCGCTTGTCCGTGCAATTAAGAAGGAAGAGAATTCTATTACGTTCAAACGTTAATTTTCATTTTTCGTTCCACCAAACATTTTAAAAATCAGTTCACGTTTTGTTCTATACTCGAAAGCATCATTCGTTCCATAATTTAAAATTTACAATACTTAGGTATATACTATGCTACTTCTGGAAGAAAAGCATTTAATGAAACTGTTTTACGTGATTATTACAGAACTTATTTAAATCTTTATTAAAACTACGAAATACTGCTGGAGGTATTACAGGTATTCAGTAGAAAAATTTACTATATTTGATAAAAATAAAAAGAAAACATTAACTATCCTTGTTTGTTTATTAAGCATAAAATACTGTAATATTAGTTGGAGCTTTGAAACAACATTTTCCTTAACAAAATGTTATCCGAAGCTTGGTTAACGAGATATTAACGGAAAACCCCGCCCAATCAGAGCGCGAGTCTGCCAGCCGAACTTCCGCGATAGCGTTGGCTAAGCGCTGGCAGCTTATTATCGATACTGTCAGGCAACGATGCCTTCACGTAGCAGACACACAAACCCAACTTTATGGTAACGGGGACAAAAATTTATTTGCAGGTACTGCCGTTAGATGTCGTATTATCATGCCGTCCCAATTACTAATTATAATATTCGTTACCACCGAACGATTACGCATCGATTGAGCATTTAAAAAAACTTATATCGGCAAAAAAAAATTTTTCGGCTAACTTCACGGTCAAATTTTGATCATTAATTTGATTACCAAAGAACGCTTGACTATCAAATGTTCAAATTAGGCCACCAATGCCAATGACTACCAAACGACCACCAATCGATTGAGCATAATGAAAAGTTAAAAAGTTAAAGTTGTCTGGCTAACTTCACATAGGTAACTATTCGATACCTCTCAAAAGATTATTGTAAAGACTACCTCCAAAGTACAGTCATCTGAATGATGTCTCTCTGGTACATTTTTTTCAGATATCTGAACAATGACTTTCTTCAGATGTCTTACGGACATCTGCAGATAACTCTGGTTAAGTGGGCGCTAGCAATTAGCAAGAGTGAAAGTATCGATACCTTGGCGAAATCGATTCAACCCTACTCCAGTTATTGTCCTCTCTTTCTACTGCCGACTTCATAACCCAATCATAAGACTGCACAGTCTATTTTATATACTTATATCTATGGACCCATTCTTTCCATGCTGTCGCAAGTCTCTATACGTCTGGTTCCGTGAGTTCGTTTCAGATGACTCTCAACTTCTGTAGCAGGCTTAACGGATATGTAAGGAAGCCATTAAACAAAAGGGTAAAGAAGTGTTAAACATTTCTGTAGAAAGGTGTTGTAAAGACGAAAAGTATACGAACAACAATGGAACGTATTAACATAGTTCTTTTTAGTACGGTAAAAGCTTAGTAAAGACTGTGCGTTGTACAAATTTCATCATACAAATATTTCAAGGAAGCTTTAATTCGTCTGGGCATCACTGCTAAGACATTGTCTCAATATCGTGGCATGTTTTCGCAGTACCCAAAGATCCGAAGGTTGAGAACCTCCCATTTTATACATTAATCGTTTTTTATTTACCATAAAAAATAAGCCATTTTAGAATTTCTTATTTATAGTTTTTCATATATATCTTCACTTTTCGTTATTTACATGATATTAGCTGTACTGTCGCATCTAAGAACGTACTTTACCAGAAAGTTTTAAAACTTCACCATATTTGTTTGAAACTTAACTTTATTAGTAGCAACATACTGAATATGACATTTTTACTGATATAGTCAAGATAAATTTGTTTAAACATGTGCCATATATACTTAGGTTTGAATTGTAGAGAAATACAAAATTTGTTGCATAAGGTGTTTTTTTTTCTTTTGTGAAAGATAGTGTGAAACAAAATTTTAATTATAAAGGTATGTTAATTTATTATAAATGTCTTATAATGTGTTTTGTGTTAACTTCCAGGGAGTATGTAACAGATAAACTGTTTCTTGCTTTCAGTAAGCAATGACAGGATACTTTGATTTACCTCTTAATATGGAAAGAATATGTAGAATTTGTCTCACAGAGGGTACTAACTTATCCTCTATTTTTTCTGTGGATCAAGATGTGAATGATTTTGCGGGTCTTCCACAAAAAATACAAGTTTGTGGATCAATAGAAATTCATGAACAAGATGGATTACCTTCATTAATTTGTGATATTTGCATTTATAAAGCAAGCGTTGCCCATGAATTTAGGCAACAATGTCAACATTCGGATGCCAAATTACGAATGTACTATAATAAACCATCAAAGTCTACTATTGTGGTAAATATAATTTCTTCAAATGTACTCCATTTATGAAAGAACAAAATGTAAAAATTTTTACTTATTTTAGGATACATGCACTCAAACAGAATTAGAAATAGAACCAGTGTTATCAAAAGAACACGAAGTTAGTCAAGAAGAATACTTTGTAAAAGACGACGATATGCAAGCAGCAACAGCAGTGGCGGTGGTTAATTCTCAAGAATATGTACATAATAACTCATATTCCAAAGATGAATCCGACTTAAGCAATGGTCAAATTGATATACAAAGTGAAAAACTTTTCATATGTTCTATTGGATTCGAGAGATCTAAGGAAATAGAAAAAGAACCCTGTATTTCAGGCAATGATTTACATGGAACTTCTCTGAGCCAAGGAGATAATGATATTTCAGAATCTATAGATATTCAAAATAAACCTGAAGAAAATCAAGATATTGATCAAAATGTAGACGAAACTGAAAAAACAAGAGAGGTTGAATTTCTAACTGAAAATATATTAAACGATGACATTGTAGAACAAGAAAAAATGCCACAAAAGCGTACATCTACAAGGAAATTAAAATCAGTGTGTAATAAATCTTACAGTGAAGATGAAATCGATGACAGTTGTTATGAGCCAGGTAGTGACAGTCATGATTCTGGAGAATCAAAATTTAAATGTAAAGTATGCTCGAAACTTTACAGTACACAAAAAGGCTTAAAAAAACATTCCCTTGTCCATGAAAAGAAATTCAAATGTGATATCTGTTTAAAAATGTTCTACAAACAGGAGAATATGGAGAATCACAAAAAAATACATGTATCAAAACCTCTTGCATGTAAGTTATGTCATGCATGTTTTTCCAAACCTCAAAGTTTTGCACGTCATTTGAAATCCCACACAGAAAAATTAAACAACATGATTAAAGAGATCAATACAGATGAACAAAAAGACAAGGAACCAAAAAAAGAAATGAAACTTGAGGAAGACACAGATGATGAAACTGGTATTGTCAATGAAGTCAATGAATTTGAAAATGCACCTGAATTATATAAATGCAATATTTGTAGTCAGTATTGTTCTTCTTTAAAAAATCTAAAAAGACATGCTCTTGTACATGGAGACAAAAAATATTCCTGCACTGTATGCAAAAAATGGTTTTTTAGACCTGACACATTAAAAAAACATGCAGAAAAACATGGTCATGGACTATTGGATAATTTAGTAGAGGATAATAAATTCTTTGATTCTGAAATACAAATGCCAACATTGTGATAAAATCATGGCTACAAAAAAGGGTCTTAGACGTCATGTTGCAATTCATAAGCCTAAACCTGAACCTGTTACATGTGAAATTTGCAGAAAAGTCTGTGCTAGTCAAGCTCGTCTTGTTCTTCATCAAAGGACACACAAACCGAAAGAAAAAGTTCCAAGAGAATACCTCTGTCATATTTGTAGTAAAGTGTATCCAAGTAATTCTTCCCTTACGTATCATATGAGAACTCATACTGGTGTTAAACCACATGTGTGTAAAACTTGCAACAGTGGCTTTACTACAACAACCAGTCTGGCGAATCATATTCGAATTCATACAGGAGACAAACCGTTTGTTTGTCATGTCTGTAGTGCAGCATTTGCTGTCAGTTCAGCTTTTAGACGGCACTTGACCAGACATACGGGTGAAGCAAATTATCTTTGCAAAATATGTGGCAAAGCGTTCAAAAGACTTAGTACTTTAAAAGAACATACGTATACTCACTCTGGTGAAAAGCCATATGTGTGTAAAACATGTGGAGCTGCATATAGTCACAGTGGTAGCTTGTTTGCGCATCAAAAACGTTGCCGAGTTCAATATGCTGAAGATCCTTTACAAATGGTAGTAGACGATCATCGCCATAATGTTGCACATCATATTCATGTGAATAATGTACAATCTGCAGTGCGTTCACTTGCTGTGATAGGACAAATGTTTTAAAAAAAGAAAAATTCACTGTTTCGAAACTTTACTTATGCATCTTAATAATGATAACAACAATGTATACAATATATAAGTGTGTGCGTGTGTGTGAGTATACGCGCGCGCGCGAACACATATATATGCACATATATTCTTATTATTAGTATTAATATTATTATTATTAAAATGCAAAGAGGTTCAGTTATTCTATATATATAGGTCATAGACTATAAAATATGCTACGATTTTCATGGTATATAATATAGCGTCATTGTAGATATCCTGCAGTTGTGTAAATATCTGAGTAACTTTTTTTTTTATAGGGACATAATTATTTAAATACTCATAAATAATTAATCAACCTATCCAAACTAGTGCTCTATTACAACAAAATCAATCTATTGTGTGAATATTTCATAAATTTGATTAGTATTGTCATCAATAATAATAATTTTGTAACATGAAACATATTTACATACACACTGTGTACGTATATAATTTATGTACCCTTATTTTGAATACATATACATGTATATTTTTGTACATTATTATACTAAAGTAGAAAATTATAAACTCTTCAGTTTATACTATCTTTTCTATCTTTTTCCATTGAGAAAGTTATAATATTCAGATATAACAATCATAAACATTGGCAGTATTATAAATTGTATTAGCATACCTTACACATATACATAAGAAACTAAATCTATATATGTATCATAAAATTTTATTACTTTACATATATTGTTCATCATGTTATATATAATTATTGCATTCAATGTAATAATAAATTTTTAAAAAATAATTCATTAAACTAATTGACTATGTTTTATTTCAAAATTTCATATTAATATAATTATAAACAGTAGTAACCAACTGTTCATCAATATTTAAAATTTTTAAAAGTGTTGTAAAATGAAAAGTAATTTAAAGCACTAGTTTAGGTATGTGATCAAGATATAAAAGTTTAATTAAAGAGAGTGTAATGTACTAAATAGATAAACAATCGAAGTTAATCCTACATATTATCAGTTTCTTAAAGCCAATGCTTTATTTTGGTATATAAATAAAATTACAGTTAATTTTATAAATAAACACTACTAAGGTAATACGTCTTTGCATATAAAAAATGTGGTGAAATTCGCGATATAACCAAAAAAGGGATAATCCTACGTGTAAAAATACATTGAAAATATACAATAAAATTTTTTCATACGTAAATTTGTTTTCGAGAAAATTGCCCTCCAAAATTCAGCTGACACGTATATATCCATTACTTAATTATTACAATAAATAAAAACAGAAAGTAATGGAAACACCTTAGCTAAATCTTATTTAATTGCGTATCCATCAAATTTTCAAAGTAGTTTTCGTCAGAACGGAGCTACGTACGAAAAATTTTATTCCACAATTATCTCTATTCGTGTTGTACCACAAATTTTGCCGCACCATATATAAAGCAAAAAATGTACAAAAAACTACATGTGTTAATTGCTACTTATATAGTGCAATACAGAGACTGATTATTATTTATATTAATGTATCAATGATGAATGAATATTTTGTAACTCTTACAATCAATGTGCGTTCATAATTACGAGTCATTAACAATCTAGCTTTTTATATTGACAATATAAGCATCGCGTAATCTTCACTCTTTAAGACATTTTATAACACATTTAATTCATTAAAAAGTATTAGCTTTATTATATGTAATGTGAATATTAGTTTTAGTTCAGTAAATAATAAATTTTGCAAAGTAGGTACTATAATTGCTAATTACATTTATGGAATAATATAATTTCATTATTGCTAATATATATGCATGCAATATACAGGGTGCTCCAAAATAGCTTCGACTCCCGGAAATGAGGGTTTCCTGAGATGATTTGAAACAACTTTTTCCTTAGCGAAAATGTTGTCCGAAGCTTCGTTAACGAGATATTAAGAAAAAAAATCCGACCAATCAGAGCGCGAGTCTGCCAGCCGAGCTTCCGCAGTATCATTGGCTAAGCACTGCGATTGGTGGACTGCTATTTTGGAACACCCTTATGTACTTGGATTATGCTATGCGTATTTTACGTACCCTTGCGAGCAAATTCGGTTTCCACTAGGGGGAAAAGTTAACGTAAGGAAAGGGCCTCCTGCCATGCTCCTACCTGTTGGTATTTGGAATTACTGAAATTTATGCCAAATTGACATTCGATTTAACATTAATTTTAGTACCTGGAATAAATTTACCAAGTGGCGGGAGGCCCTTCCCCTTCGCCACTTTTTCTCCTAGCGGAAGCCGAGTTTGCTCACGAGTGTACACTGTGTTTTTATACCTGTCCTGAAATAAGGGTCAATCACTAGTTGCAAACCCTGTCAATTACTATGCAAAACCCGGGCAATCACTACAATTTTGGAGTTTTACTTATAATTGATGATTTTAAAAGATTTCTTGCATATGCGAATGCACAATGTTAATTGTTTTATTATTTTTAATTACTTTCAATACTATAACAGCAGTTATTATTCTTCGATTTTAACGATAAACACTTCGTTTCTATAAATTATTTTAAACACGCCCTTTTACTGTCAATCATTGTGTACGTTACCTTACCACGATTCTGGTATCACTGATTCTGTGTGTAAAGGATGTAAGGTAAGGTACAAAGAATCCTCGTTAAATGTGTGAATGCTCCTCAGCATTTACGAGCGGAGTGTCCACGCTAGGCGCGTGGAGAATTTGATGCTCTTTCACAGTCAAGCGCACTGTCCGCGATTTGATCGTGATTAGTCTTACTTCAGTTGTCGTGTGTCTCAGTAGCAAGTATTATAACTATTATATTATAGCCTGTATTGAAATTCTTGTAGGTATTTTTGTTTTATTCGAGTACAACCAAATTAATGACTCAAATTATTGCTGCGTATTATTATTGACACAAAAGAAAGAAAAAAGAAATTCGAGTAAATAGGCGATACTGCGTACAAACTCTTATTGCTCAAAGGCGTTTAAAAGGCACTTTTGTGTCATTATATACTGATTTACGTGAAAATGAAGAAGTTTTTTTAAACTATTTCCGTATCTATACCTATGATAACTGTTTAATCCTCGACGAAATCCGTTCAACTGTTAACAGTGTTAACTGCTACATTTGTTTCCATAGAATTATGTGACGCTGATGCGGCAGGACCACGTGTGTGGTTGTTCCGCAAGCGGATCATCCGCTGAACTGTGAAGTGTGAATGCTCCCATATAATGTAGGTCGTAGGTAATTTATTCCGCGCGTGTAGCGCGGTCAGTGCGGTCTCTCCATTAGACTCTTGTTGTCTGTCCATTAAAACAAAGTGCAATTACATTTTGCAAGTACACTTGTGAAAAAGTCATATTGTTGTATGATACAGCTTGTTAAATAATGTAAAATTTTCCTTTACAATTTTCTTCGAACTTCAGTTGAAACAGTGCTGTGGCCTAGCTCAATTGCCAGTAACACTCTATATAAACTTTTAAGTTATCATCTTGTTTTATTTTCCACTATGTTTTATAGCCCTGTACTAAATGTACGAATTGTATATTCCTATATAAAAGTAAAAATTTATTCAAACTACAAATAAACAGATATTACATTTTGCTTCTTGGCATACAATGTATTATTTCCAATTAAATCATTAAATATTTTTTTTAAATTAGTAATAATTGTTTAATATGAAAATAATTTTAAACAGACGGATAACTATTATTTATAAGCACAATATATGTTCATAAAAATAATAAAATGTTATTAACAAATTACTTTAAGAACATACTTTATGCATTTATTACATGCGTATAGTTGCAAAAATTATTCCTTTCTTATTTTCATTCAGTACATACAGTGTTGTCTTAATGTAGATGCACACATTCGTTTATTACACATTAATGTTGACATGAAAATTTCAAAGAGAAGGTAACATTAGAAAAAAATAACAGCGAAGTTTCTGTTGGTTTGACTGACCTTAAAAATTCTTTGTTTTAATCTTGTAAAGATCTAAATTGACGTTTTTTCTTAAGCAATTTATACCGACGCCAGATTGCTGCTCTTGTTCGTTTTAAAACTTTTGCTAAATCTGAGTACTTTCGTTTTTCATCGAGATTTTCATTGTGTTCTAAGTGATCTATAATCATTTCATCCTCCTCGGGAAGGAACCTGAATTTACAAAAAGTAAAACGTCAAAATGAATACATATAGCCCATTATTAAGTATAAATTGAACATATTATCTCTATTTAAAATATAAGATCAGTATTACATTATTATAATTCAATACACAGAATGTAATGAAATACATAAATGTATTGAATGGTATAAATGTTCTTCATTTATACATATTTTGTATACAAACATGTGCTATAAGTGTACTATAATCTACAGCCTGTATATCAGTTTAAGGACGAAATACTGTATTAATAAGAACAATCATTAAGATAACCAAATGAAATTCATTATACACTGTATTTAAACAATTTGTTCAAAAATTAATTTATAATTTTGAATTATAAGGCATTAATTTTATAGAATATGTATTTATGGAATCATAATGTAATATGATGTATGGTGTACTAATTTATCCTAGTACTGGTACTAATAAACCAAATAAAAAACGGTTTTTAAGGGTTAATAAAAAAAAACTAAGTTTTTAAACGAATCCAACAAATTTAGTAAAGATGTAATCAACCGTATATTTAAATAAACGACGGATATTATATAGAATAGCTTGAGAACAAATAATTTTTGTACCTATTATCTAAACTACAATTGTTATTTTAAGGAATGTAATAGGTCATTCAAATTTTATACAATCTTTTTTTACCACTCTCCTATATGTAGTAGTATGTAGAAAACGCACCCAGCATTACTCTGAAAATGTGTTTTCGAGGAAGAGACGTAATGGCATTTTATATAATGTCAAGTGTTAGAATCCAGCTGCCGAATGAATGAAACAATGACAATGAAGGAAAAAGGTAAAGTTTGGGTGAATGATTTGCTGTCAGCTGCCACAATGTCATAGAATTTGTACGTGAAAAATAAAATCTTTCTAAATTCGATATTTTCTTAATGAGTGTGTTCTATGCGGAAATAAAAAAGAAACAAATTCTTTATAATTCAACCCTCGGCCAGCGGACTTCGGGTCATTTGTGATCTATGCCTGGAATTTATTTTGTGTCACAGTTAAAAAACTATACCGCTCGGGTCGTGTAATTTCAGTTATCTACAATTTTCCCTTTTTTTAGCAATAAATGAAATCAAGATGCACCGAAAAAACATGTATTTTAAGCAGTATTCAGTATGTATATAGCGATCAGGCAAGGCACACTTCAAAAAATGGTTCACAGTCCGCTGCCTGAGATGTATTTATGTACCTAGGTTAAAATAGAAGTAACATTATAAAACATATTCTTCCTTTTTTTAAACTTTACCTTCTTTGCAAGTGGTCTGCAAATAAGTTTCTAAATCTGTGATAGACACTATATAAAGTTCTATTTGGTAATCCATCTGCTAATAATTGTACAAATCTTCGTCTTTGTTTCTTACTGCGAATATATGTCTTATTCCCTTCTCGTAGGAGCAAAAATGGATGAACCATCTTCAAATTCCAACCATGCAACTATGTAAAAGTAGAGATTCTTTTAACTAACTACAAAAAAATTGTAGAACATAGTTTTCACACCTTTTACAATAATAATTTCAAGTAACAAACCTTACAAAATGTTTTCCAATTATTATTAATTATTTTATCCTCAGATGGATTAAAGCACCCTTTTTTAATAGGAACAAATTGATTAAACCTTTCTATTTCTTCATGTGTTGGAGGACGAGATCCAGCACGTGATTCAATTTCATGCTGTGGCAATACAGGGTGTCTTAACTGAACATGTAAATTCAGTAGTATCTATAACAATAACAATTTACCTGCACTCTATACAATTTTTATAATATGTAAATAGAAAAAACAGAAAAGTTATTAAATAGGATAGAAAGAATACAAAAATATTAGTATTACATATTAAATTTGCTTTGCATCATGTCAGGAACATAATTGACAATAAGAACTGTAATTCAATATAATATAAATTTACTACAATGCAGAGTACAAAAAATAGTCTAAACATAAAAATATAATTCAATAGCTATGATGAAATAATAAGATTAACAATAGGAATAAAATGTAGAAATTTAGTAGATGACAACTAATAATGGCTAGAAAAGATGGGTAAATAATACAAGGTCTATGTAGAAGAATTAGACACATTAAAGTTATTAGTCTTATATAGATCAGCATTGGGCAAACTGACTCCTGGGAGCTACAACCTGTCCCCACATAGTCCGATGTTAACGGGAAATGACAGAGACAAGTCAGGGTTGTTTTGTTTCTACAAAGACAGACGTTATGAAAGAAAAGTTAAAAGGGAAAGCAAGCACATGAAGGGACCCTATACTGTCCATTGCTGCATTAAACTATATACCAGATGATTACTCTGAAATATAAACATGTAAAATAGAAAAGGAAACAGCAGTACAAGGTAAAGTAAATGAAAGAATAGAATGCTAGTTAATACTTCTTAGAAAACAAGCAGTAAGAGATAAAAGAAAGAAAAGAGAACATAATTAGCTTAATAATCAATACAAATTGAAATTATTACGTATGTAAGCATAATATGAATTTGCAAAATAAAAGAAGAAAAAGAGAATAAGGCAGGGAAGTAAATAAAGACAGTTTGTAAGCTGTAAAGTATAAAATGATTACCTGTTTATTTTCTGCGGAAAGCTTATTTGAATCTCTTATTTGTTGCGCAAGTATATTAACATCATGCAGTTCCATTTTTCAAAACCCTGTTTGCATTATATAAATACAAACCTGAAGGTTTGTCAATAATTAGTTCAATGAAATGAACGTCAAATACAAATATTACAATACATACTTATGCATACCACTGAGCAATGACATACCAACCTGTATCACGCTGTGACGCAGTGTTAGGAAAATTCATAAATTCTTACATTTTATCACAGACGAGGTATAGGAGTAAAAATTTCATCCAATGTATTTTTTCGGCCTACTTTTCTGGGGCGACGTCACCCCATTTCGATTTTAGTGTCACTACCTACCGCAGATTCACCGTTCTCATAACGTAGAGGTCGCTAAAATCACAGGCTTTTTAAGGTATCGGTAGAGTGAGGAAATGAGAGTGCTACCAACACAGACGAGATGGAAGCTTGTTTATTGTAGCGTTCGTGTTATAGAAGGCTCAATTTCCAGTATACTACATTAAGCGAGCTCTAATACGTAGACTACGGGTTCGACGTAGCTATATACAGGGTGGGCTAGATACACACACTGTTCAATTGTTCGTTATTAGTTATCTAAACAGACAAACTTATAACAATGTCTACGTTAGTCATAACCTCTCTGGGCATAAGAATGATAAATATCTTTAAGGTGGTTAATCATAGAATTGAAAAGCTGCAAAAGGCTTAAAATTGATATGTAGTTTAAAAATGAGATGAGTACCTATTTAAAAAAATGTGTCTAGGGTGTGATAATACATAACTTATTAAAATAGTACAAAGTGAAACTAACCCAATAATAGAGTTTCAAATGATTATTCCTATAAATATTACATACCTATATGAAATAATTAAAAAACTCAATCTCTATACAATTGTACAACTTTATATAGGAATCCTAATACACACAATCAATTACCTTTTGGCAATTGGTGAATCTTTATACAACTTTATTCACACATCATTTATTTACAATAATTTTATTTATTGCGAGTAAGTAAATAATAAAATTCGATCCAACATGCACCAATTACCCGCTGCCTCATGGTTATATCAGGTGTATAGATTCTTCAAGGAGTTTGTTAAGTGTTACATTCGGCTTTTAAACTGGAGTAGTGCACATGTTTTTTCCCGCCAAGTCGATTAGGCGGGAAGCTACCGCTCTGACCTGACCAATCAGCCACTCGCAATCCCCCGAAGATAGCCGAAAGAACTGCTCGAGACCGGCCGAGTGTAACCGAAGTGTCATTCGTCTCGGAGATGTTGACGCAATAGGTCGTAGAAGCCGTTTGCTTGTGCTAAAGTGAGTGACATTTACTTTTCATCTTTATTCCTATATATTAATTACTAGTATCTTCATTAGCTCTCTATCGTTACTGTCCTTTAATATTTATTCAATATAGACTAAATAATCCCAAATTAATTCGATATCGTAGGTATCGCTTTACTTTACTACTCGGTTTCACTGTGTACCAATTAATATAATGTTTACGTATTTCTGACTCAATTTGAAATCTTTGTGACACACCACGAGTTCAATAATTGTTCATTTGTAACGTAACTATTCTTAACGTTGTCTAATTACTCAAAATACATGTTTATTTTCTGTTCCAGAGTTTCGGCTTGGAAGTAAGTACTACCGTCCTGAGTATCGTTGAATCCCTTCAAACGGAATTCGGCGGGAAATTGGTGAATTCTGATAAGTTATTGTAAGATTTATTATAACATTTATTATAACAACAAAGTGACACTTCATTACTTATTTTTATATTGTTTGTAACCGTAAGTGAAATAATCGTGATTTCGTAGTTTGTGTTAAGATCAAATGAGAATTTTTTCGAGCACTTTTCAATTCATATATTTAGTTGAAGCATTCAAAATGGCTTCCTTGAATGTTAAAAAATTTAAACGACAATACTTCGAGACATTCAAATTGGAAATGTTTGTGATTTACTCTATTTCGGTCGTGAAATCGTATTAAAATAAACAATTTCTTGTTTTTCCGTATGAGATTATTGTATTTGCATTTATATACAGTTTCGGATATAAATTTGATTAATACAAGTTGTATAGTTTATCATGCTTTGTATTAAAGTATGCGTAACTAATGCAATTTTGGTACTTGTAAGGATTTTCTGAATATGTACAAAAGCAGGATGTGGATTAAATAAAAAAATAAACATGCGTACAGCATAGTTATGTGTATTAAATGTTATAAACTAAATAATTAGCGTGTAACATTTATCAATAATAATAATATTGAGTATAATAAATTTGTCTTGTCTTTTTGTTTTTAGTCAAACACTAAAATGGACATCCTACTGTGAAGTTCCACCAGCAATAACTGTAGGCCCTTCTATCATCGGGTGAGTCTTTGCATGCCTTTTTTATTCTTCCAGTGCCTAATCATGCCATAGGACAATTAGTCCAACATGGCATGGGCAACTGGTTGTATATATGCTAAATATGGTGAGTACAGTGAACGTGGGTATGCTATCATACCTTCGAGTAGTAACATTGATCAATTGTACTTCTTAGGTAGGGTAGGGTCTTCTTATACATAGAATTTTCTACTACTGATACAATTAATAAACATTTTATAATTGGACAAAGCAGTATTAATACTCTTAATATTCAATGCATATCCTTGAGTGGATTGTATATATGAATCTTTGTAGGCTAGAATATATTGAATACATACATGATGAATCAAACGTCAGTGGAGGAATGTGACAATCTCAGACTTCCTCCTTGCACTAACCAATATAATGACACAATGATAATACAGAATAATATCCAATGAGAATATCATTGAATAGCTTGATCTAATTTCATATTTTGCATGATTGAAAAATTTGATACTTTGCATTAAAAAAAAGTGTTCCATACACACATTATATTAGAGATCATGTATAAGAAGACATTTTGCATTGGGTAGGTTTTTGAGTCAAAGTAACATTTTTTCTTTGCTAGACTTATGTTATGTGTCTTGCAATGGCTTTGACAATGGGATCACCTGTGGGTTGTTCAATATGTAGAGTCAAATATCTTATTAAAGAATCATGAATTTCCAGTAGGGTCTTTTTCTTAATGACTGAATTCTATTAAATTAATAAGTATCCAATCTTTGCTTTTCAATTGTTATTAATACAAAGTTGAATCATTTTAATTACAAATTAAATGAGAAAGAATTAAAGAATATTAACGTGTTAAAAGAGTAGTAACTAATAATTTTTTTCGTCAGTATTTTCAGAATAATGTCGTCCAGTAAAGCTCACATTCATCACTGAGTACTAAATAAGATGTCCACTGGCAAAGCTCCACTTGATTCAAGATTCTTGTCTTATACGGAGCCCCTCTATCATCGGGTGAGTCGCATGTTTTTTTATTCCTCTGGTCCCCAATCATGCCGTAGGACGATAGGTCCGAAGCGGCACGGACGACTAGTTGTATACGTGCTAAATTTGGCGAGTACAGTGAACGCGGATATGCAATCATATCCGCGAGTAGTAACATTGATCTGTTGTGTTCCTTAGCTAGGCTAGGGTCTTCTTGTATGCCATGTTTACAATTAGTAATACGATTCATAAATATTTTATATTAAAAGTATATTTATGCTTACTTATAATTTCAATGTCGTCGTCTGGTATCATTTATAAATGTAGAATGGAATACGATTTACGGCAATTTACAGAATATAGAAAATACAATAAATTCACAATGGTCTACAACTACAGTTAGCTGGTACAAAAATAGTATTGAATTCATTAATGTGTAAAAGAAATTTAAATAATAGACTTGAATATAGAGTAGAAAGAACGGAAGCCACACCGGTATGTTTAAAATAGAGGAGAAAACATGGTGGTGCCTTCTCAGATGAGCATGTTGTAGCAGTTAGCGCAATACCACGAGACGCGACAGCACGTTTCAAAAACCGGAACCAGTGTCGCAAGACACAAAGGTATCATTCGTATTTGCAAGTTCCATGAATAGTGGAACACGTGTACTGGGAATCGCAATAAAGTATCGGTGCATAAAAAGAAGACGTATTAAGTTATGTCACCTGTGCATCGATATGCACGCCCTAGTGAAAAACCGCGTGTTATGGAACAATTTAACACGTTGTGCATGTATGACCATTGAAAAGTGCATTGCGATTTCCAGTTATCGTGGCCGGTGTTTTCGTTGCCACTGGCAAAGAACGCATACGGTTACGTACACGGGTAGACTACCGAGACGTACTGGCGTGTACTCATGACCACTTTAATGGAGTGTGAGCGTTAAATGCAGAGAAGGTACTACTGTGTTTCACCAGCATGTATTGTGTCCCACAAACATATTTGTATGGTAGACGTATATACTCAGAAGGAATGAGTATTCTGTCTTTTATAAAGGGCAGAGCAGAGGTGTCCGTCTATTGCTTATGAGCAGCATTCTTTCCCTCCGGAGGTACCCTCATTATGGGTCTTAGTTTGACTCGGTTGAGTCAGTCTGAGGTTGGTATTGGAGGAAACCTACGAGGGGAGGCTTGTAATTGCTTGTAGCTCGTGGGTAGCATTTGAACACCTCTGGTAATAGAGCCAATTTTTATGGTTGTTAGCATGTTAATCAAATTTTATTTCACCCATTAGTGTGTTAATCATTATTTTCAACAGTTGTACTGTCACTTGTAAACAAATGAGATAATTAATTGAAGTTAAATGTATTTACTAATGTAATTAGTAATACTATTTTTCACTACTTACTATTTACTAATTTGATTTATAAATGCAGGATTTCATATGATACCAGACTATTGCGAAGAAGTTTAAGATTAACACCTGTTAATCTTAACACTGTTCACATAAGAATATTCATGAAGCATTGCATGTTATCAATTACACTAACAATGCGTATTGAATTATATCAGAAGTACGTATTATCACGTTTCTCAAAGACAGCCATAAAAATTAAATCATGCATTTTGATATACATGGATTGAGCTAGAATGTAAAATTCTGGATAAATGTAATCTTACAGACCATGTACAAGAAGGCATTTCGCGACGGGTAGATGTCTGAGTCAAAGTGACATGATTTGTTACACTTATGTTATGTGTCTTACATTGACTTTGACGACGGAATCGCCCGAGGGTTGTTCAATGTATAGAGTCAAATATCTTATTACATAATCATGGTGTAGAGTCTTTTTGTCGTTAAAAATGAATTTACATTAGGATCTTCTTACTTGTTAATACAAAGTCGAGTCATGGTTGTTGCAAACGAAGTGAGAACCAATGAGAACATATTAGACCGTTAGAAGAGCAGAAATTAATAATTGTTTTAGTCAGGATTTTCAGGATAATTATTCCGTGTTCGTTGCTCAAACCCTTTCACGTGCCCAGGTGCTACTTGATTGGGCGAGAGCAGCGGGGAACGATGATTTGATTTCATATATAATAACAATGACATGTGTATGCGACTGGCAATGCGTTAATTTACCGTACACGACGTATTTTCCACTTGTGTGTGTGTGTGGTTGTTACGCAATGGAATTGCGTCGGTTAGATTTCTATCAATTAACATTTCATGTGTAGTTGTTCCTTGGAACAATTTCTCACAACTCCGGTATCGGTCGTACATATACCTTTGCTTTATATAATGCTTATAATAAAATTTCCATGGAATATGTACTGGTTTCGTGTCTCTCGCTATCAGACGAGAAAATTAACTCATAATCGATATAAAGTACACCAAGTATACGTATATTGTTTAAACAATTTTTCTATTCTCGCAATGGATGCTAGCCTTTGCCAGTCGATTTCAGAAAAATGGTACGTACCTATTAGAGTGTGCATGTTAAAAGTCGCGCTCGGGTGTCGGAGACGTCCCGGGACGTTATTCCTAGGTCTTAGGTTGATTTGTACCCGGGCGTATGTTTGAGAACCGTGGAGTGTTGTGTGTTGGTGAGAATTTGTCTTTTGCCATTTCTTTTTAAATATAAGGCTAGGTAGGCAGGTAGCATATTTTCTTGTGTGTGAATGTGTACGATTAGACTGTAAGTAGGCAGGGGCCGGGGCAGGCTATCACATTCTCTGATCGGGTAGGCTCGCGTAGGTTTCGCGTGATAATCCTGCTACCGGGATAATTTGTAGCGTCGATTCGAAACTGGTCCAGACGGAGCATGCTGTTTGCTTCCGATTTCGATTTCGATTCTTCAAATTCGGCGAACCCCAAGGGGATCGTCGTCGCGGTCGCGGTCGGAAGGATAGGATTGTCGAAACGAACGACCTGCTCGATTGCATTCGTGGCACGATCATACAGACTCTTGGAGTTGTTGGTCGTCCACCACCGAGCAGCTTGAGGGTTTCAGGTGGGTGGACTGCCGAAGAAAAGAAGAGGCTATATGTCGAAGAGGCCCGACACAAATTGTGTCATTGAAAAGGGCAACTACCAATGGCTCCGCATCTTCGGATGGGGAGTCATTCTGTTACTACTTTGTCACTGTACTCGCCTGTAGTTGTAGTCGTAGTAGTTTGTATTCTGGTCGACAGATCGGCCCAACCACCAGCAATATTGGGTAAATCGTGGTTTGAATTAGTTTTGCGGATGAGACGAGATCACGGTTTGCATGGAATTGTAAATTTTCAATACAGATCATCGTAGTTGCTTAGAGAATAGTGTTGCGAAAAATCAGACCGTGTTTCCTTTAAGATTGTTTTTATATTTCAAAATAGTGTTGCGATAATGACTAAGCGCGATTGAAGTTATTATTTTTTTAATTAGTATTGCGATACAGATTGGTCGCGTCTGGCTTAGTCGTGCGATCTATCGGATGCCTAAAACCATTCCGGTACCATCGGAACCATAAAGCAATTGTGTTCCGTAGTATGAGACCAAGGTGCACGGGAGTTTCTTCATTAGATATTTAGTAAAATAGTGTAGCGAACAATAAGCACTTCCCGCGGTTTTCAACATTCTCCCGACAATTTAGTAATCTTAAATGATTAATGTTGCCCACCTTAAGAGTGGTACTTTTTTTTAGCGAATTTTCTTTTTCAGAAATCGTCATGGGATTGTATTTCTAATTTATGCACACATACATTATTGCCCCGGTTTTGCTAGCAAGGAAGAATGTTCTGCTTTTCTCGCCCGGCCTGAATGGCAGTTTGAATCATATGTATACAATGTATACAAGTACGCCTGGTATAAATGTATATATGCTATTATATTAATCTAACTATTACGAATACGAAAAAATGTTTTATATAAAAATTGTTTTATTTAATGGAGTAAACTTAATAGAATGTTTGAATTTTTTTTATTGTTATTTACAGAGATTGTAATAACAATATAATGTTTTTAAACGAATCTATATATTTTTATTAATGTCGTGTTATGAACGATTTTAAGATGAATTCAAAGACACATTTGAAAGTTCTGCTTGAGTAATAATTTCTCAGATAACTATGAAAGATACCCGTCAATTTGACGCTGCACAATGAGTTGAATAACCAGTTTATTTCTTCATGTATTAACGCAACGCTCTGATTAAGACTATTGTAATATGGAAGTAATATTCGAAGTTATTTCCAAATACTTACATTGTATGTAGTGTGCAGTCGGGAGTGCACTCCCTCGTTTGTTTCGCAGTCCGAGGTTTGGAGATCAGGCTTTGACTAAAAGACGCTCGACAAAGTTATTTGAGCTTCGAGTAAACGATCGAATAGATACAGATACAGATGTAAACTTTATTCGACGTTACGGATGAAACGCTGTGGGAATAAAAAAAGTATCTCTAATCGTTGGGTATATTCTCATGGAATAAATTCATTTATTCGTTTCTCATCGAATAGGATAAGTTATTCATCGAATAAGTATAAAATCGAATTTTGAAAATGCTTCTAGAATTAATATCTTCGAAGTTATTATTTTACTGATATATAAGAAGTTTATCAAATACATATTATTAGTTTTAATATGAGAAACGTTATTTATGCCTGTTTTATTACAAAATTATATCATGTTAAAAGTTAATGAGCTGAATGGAAAATAAATAGAATACGTTCCGAAGATATCGAGTCTAACCAATAATCTTGTCGCTTTATTAATTGTCATGAAAATATATATGTATATGTAAGTAATACAATAATACAAGATAATAGAATGTTCATACCTTAAACAATTTAGAGTAGCAGATGCAAAAGGGCTGGTCAAAATCGTATTTGTAAGTACAGTTCAAAGCTATACGAATATACACTGAGACTGAATTCGATTGACTGTTACAAACGAATTATCAAACTTTATTTTCACTTAAATGTCAAACCGATTAAAGTCGATGAAAAATATTACTATTAATGCAATGCCATACAATATTCTATCATTCGAATTTATTCAATTTCAAACGAGCCTATCCGTAATCGTATAGAAAACGATTTTTTCATCGTGAGCGGAAGAAACGATCACAGATTTATCTCTATCCTCCCTTTTCTCCATCTATACAATTGTTATCACGCCAAAAAAATGTAATAATAAAATTAATCCGCCCACGCCGATGCAGGCATATTAGCTCATAGAATGTCACTGATATCAATAAGTCTCCTCGCCACTACTTAGGCAGTCTAACATTCGATACAAATTTCTACATTTTACGATGACATTAAAGCCATGCAGTGTCTTTTTATTACTTTATTTTTTTTTTTATCAAAGCAGTACGATTAACCTAAATAAAACAAATATTCGATTCCGTTGTTCTACGAGTGTGGTAAATACTACGAACTTAAAGAAACGCTTTTAATCTCTGCGACTTCCTATCCCTATGTCATTGGATTTCTTGGTACCTGCTCGTAAGTTTGCAGTGAAAGTTCATAAAAATGTGAAATTTAAAAGAAAAAATACAAAGTGTCCTGTCGGGCTGCGGAAACTCGTCTGACGTTCTTCTGGGTGGACATTTCTCTTTTTAGGACAATCCGTTCGGCCGGGTACGACGAGATATTCGATCCGGTATGCTGGAGATGCAATTAACAAGCGCAATCACATGCGCAACGACGGACGCGTTTCTCGCGGCGGTGGGTGAAGGCCTCCGGAATGGAACGCACGGAACGGGGCTGCACATCTGTGAATAGAAAAACTCGTCTCTTTAAAGTCAACATTTTCAGTAATCCACTATTAAACAAATAAAAATCACGTGATTTAAGGAAGTACACCACTTTGTACATCTAAAAAAGATAAGTTTAAAAAATGCTTTTCTTTGGCGATTGTTGAGTAATGTATGAGGACCTCTTTAGGGGATGTTAGGTAATATTTTAACGTGGTGTAGTTATACAACATTGTCTACCGTCATGTCTGGCAAGACCTTGTCAGATAGTACCCAGCAGATCTCCGAAACAATACATCCAATTAACTTCAAATCTGAAAATATTAGTTCTTATAAAATTGCCTACAATGTAGCGTACGATTTTTGGATAATTTAGAACAATAAAAAACAGGTAGCTTTATAAAGAAAAAATGTTTACACTGAAAAATATCAACTTTGAAAATTCATGAAAATTCAACAAATTAAATTGACCAAAAAATTGTATCCTACATTATAGATAATTCTATAAGAAATAATGTGTCAAAATTTGATATTCATCGGATATACAGTTCTGGAGATCTCTGCTGGGTACCAGCTGACAAAGACCTCCCTGACAGGACGGTAGACAATGTTGCATAACTCCACCATTTTGTAATTTCAAATAATAACTAATGTATGAAAATGAAGTTAAAATGTTGACCACTATCCATTAAAAAAATGCCGATATTTTTGTAACGTACACGGCCAGGTAGTGGGTCGTGCAGCAAACATGCACGGCTGTTGATTATTTGGCGCTCGAGTCTGAGAGTGCAAGACCTTGGCTCATAATATGGGTGCAATCGTTTTTCTTTTCGAAAACTTTTCCATACCGATATACGGACTTCTAGAAACGATATAAAATTTATCTAAACTTTTTTCAAAATCTTTTGTAACTTACTAGTTACAAGCGAATAAGTAAAAGGGACGCTTCGGATAGGAAGGGTGGTTTCTCCTTTAAAATCTAAAAGTAGCACGAACCAAGTACGGCAAAATTCTTAGACTGGTCCCACAAACAATTGAGCAAAGCTACAGAAAAGCCTACGTGTATCACTTCATTAGCATCCCTTCTTAGTACTTGAAAAGTAGTATGTGAAAAATTAAATAGGAATATAAACTAAATATTTGTACGTAAATGTTTAATGTAACACTTTTTTATATTGTTTAACTTTTTTATATACAATACTCACAGTGCGGACGGCTTTCTTCTTCTGGTTCTTGTTGTTGTTGTTGTTGCATTTGCTGCTGCTGTTGTTGTTGCATCATCATATGAGTTTGCTGCTGTTCCTGTGATCGGTGTTCTGATTCTTGTTGTGAATTTTGACCGTCAGTTACTTCAGCACGAGCTTCAACGGGTATTTCCAAAGATTCTACCGGTCTTAACGGCAATGTGAATCTTGGCACTGGGAAAGCATTTCCTTCTACGACCTGGAAATACGAACCATTAAGAACACAAGTTATTTTAAATCATTCTATTTATCTGGTTTATGTAATTATAATTAGAATATCTACTTTCTTTATCTACCTTTTTTTTCGATTTCTTATAGATTTTGATTTAAAGTACATATAATGAATTTTCAAGTAAGCTCTCCCTATTCGTATTTGTGGCAAACGATATCCTCTTGAGAGACACAAATAAAGTTTAAATAAAGTCAGGAACAAAAATGAATTACATAAACAATATTGCTTCATTTACGTACAATGTAATACAAATTAAAATTAAGAATAAAAATACTGGCAGCGGTGGGATTCGAACCCACGTGTCTCCGAAGAGACTGGTACCTTAAAGCAGCGCCTTAGACCAGGCCTTAGACCAATTTGCTTTTTCTCTCTTCAAGTTCGTAATTGTCAAGAATTAGAAATCCTAACTCGTACTAGTGTAGTGTTTACGTATACTAAAGTAGGGTGTGGTGTTTTTGGGTTAATTAGTACATACCTGGTGAATTATATTACGGATTCCCGCAGGTACAGGGAAGTTCTTTTCCTCCTCGCTGTCGTCTTCCGGTCCAGGGAAAGGTTTAGCTTCTTGTTGTTCGTTAGACCCATCCGACCTCTGACGACCCTCGATATTTCCATGCTCCAATAGATTTCGGACCTCTACCGGAAGTGGAAGACCTAGAGGAATGTGCTGTGCTCCTTCCGGAAACGGTTTGAACTCTTGAATGTTCTAAAAACATAATAAATTGAAGGATGTAATAATAATATTAATAATAATACAATATTAATAATAATATTCTTAATATTAATAATAATAATAATATTCTTACGAATGAAAAACAGGTCAGTGAATTTACAACGATATTTACCATTTATAACGTGACCATTCGTATCGGTTTTAACAAGTTTATTTTAAGTGCACGATGTCACGAGTTTTACAAGCGAAAATGTTTTCATTGTAACTGGTTTAAAAATTCAATCTTAAAACATCTCTAATGTACGAACCTTTATCATTAGCATAGTCACCTATTTGAATGCTTTAAAAATGCACTAAAAATGCAACCGATTTTGCACGTAACTAGACTAAACTTACAGGATTAGATAAATGTAAAGTAAATAAAAGGTTCTATAAAATTAGCAAAAGTGCATGGTATGTTGTTATTAAAAATGTCTCTATTATGAATCTAATAAATATGATATATTCTTATGTTATAATATGTGGGATAGAAAATAAAAATTTCAAGCAGCTAAATACAATTCAAGTTTCTTAAATTAAACAACCAGTAAAATATGTAAATTAAGAAAATGACTTGCTCGAATAATAATCTCCCTATTAACTCAGAATGTGGGAAATTTCTTATCGCAAATATATAACGTTAAACAAATTTACTTTTCGATTTCAAGCACCGTAATAAACTAATCGTATATTAACACAATTACAAAATCATATAACTTGCTCAACGCTTTAAACTTAATAATTTTTCCCCAAAATGAAATTATCAGGTTCGAAGTAATAGTGTAAAAAATTGCCAATTATATTTCGTTTTAATTCTTATGTGGTCTAAAACTTGCTAATGCGATCGTTTTGATATCAAGTAGGTAATTAAACTAAATTACCTCACGGCGTGCACCTTCCGGTACTTGCACAGGAACCTGTCTGGTTTCGCCAGTGATATGTTCAATGATATTCTTGATCTCTAACGGTACTTCCTGAATAATCCTTCGAATTTCGAATGGAATTCCTTGGAAGGGAGGTCGCAGTTTCTCAGGAATTTGAAGCTGTGCCTGTGGTTGAGAATGAGGTTGCATCTGAAGTTGTACCTGGGGATGCATCTGAGGTTGCATCTGAGGTTGCATCTGAGGTTGCATCTGAGGTTGCATTTGAGGCTGCATTTGAGGTGGTCGCTGTTCGGTTTGTGGGATCATCATGTGAGGAATAACTCTTTGTTCGTGTACTTGAGCCTCTTGTTGTGGCGCAGGTGGTGGCATCATAATTGAACCTTGTTCTTGACCGTATACTCCAGGCGTTTGCTCAACTTGTTGGTACATCATCTGTGATCCTTGGGGCATCGGTGGTTGCATGGCTCTTATGGAATTCACCGGGAAGTGGCGCAGCTCGATGGGAATTCGGCGCACTTCAATCTGAACCAAAGTTGGGAATTTTATTCGAATAATACACAGTGAAAAGCAGCAGTATCTAAAGGTGTCGTTCTGAGCTTTAAACAGCTAATGAGATTGAATAATTGTTCGACAAATGTCGATTCATTCATAAAGAAGTATTTTATTATAAAAATTGACATTTTCACGTTTAAACAATTAAAAATGACAAAATACTTTTTTTATCTTTTATTCGTTATTCGAAACTTTTGATCGAGATAATGAGTTTGTCCATCTATGATCTGAACACAAAATAATTACAGTAAAAATTGGAAATACCGATGCTTTGCCAGTCGAAAAGTTTAGCATTATTTAAATCGATCCCCTCGAATATCTACGAAACCGTTGATGATTCCAAGAAATGTTTCAAAAAAAGTTGAATAGTTTCGAGGGGGAAATAATGTGATGTGAGTAGTTTTTTCTTGTAGCTGGTCGCGTAGATGACATATGAGAGGCGTAGGTCATATTTGTTTTTGTTTCCAAAATTCAATTTTGATAATTTCAATTTGTCATACCTTATAATAAAATTGTTAAGCTATTTATGCCAAAAACCATTAGTTTAGGAGATATTTAATTTCACAATTGCGGGCAATACTACGTCTGACATGTAACATTTTTTTTTACCATCAACTTCAAGGAGGCAAATATGATATTACTAGAAGCATTTCGTAATTTTATTTCAAAGAATATAATTATTTTTCGAAAGTGATTCTCAAGTATGACTTTGTTTTCTGAGTGTTAAATACTCACTTGATGAACCAAGTTCTTCTCGAGAATAAAATACAATTCCGATACTTAATTCATCAGCTGAATCTTTAACCCTCAGAAAACAAAGTCATGTTTAAGAATCACATTCGAAAGATAATTACATTGTTTGAATTACTCACCTAACCCACTCCTTATTTTACATGAAAAATAAACTCACTTGGGGTCCCATGGCAGGATTTTGCGGTCCCATCATAGGTGTCTGCGGTCCCATTCGTGGTGGCCTTATTTCAATGTTCACTTGAGGAAGATTTCGCAGTTCAGGAGGAAGAACACCAGGTGGGATATGGTTCAACCCACGCGGGTCGCTAAGGGGCAACTGCTGCATGTCAGGAACTTGATATTGAGTGTGCACTTGGTACTGATTGTAGCCTGGGTTTGGCTCCTGAGATTGAAGGGGTACTTGAATGGTTCCCAAGGGAATAATGATTGGGGTCAGCATTTCTTGCTCTTGTTGTCTGTAAGAATAAATCAATTCGTCTAGAGATCAATTCCGATCTATGGTTCGATTCAGACTTTTTATCCTCATGATGAGTAGAATATAATGCAGTGAAAAAATTTTGGTAATTATACAGAATAAGGGAGCCACCCTTTGATTGAAATGATCTTGAAATATGTTGTCAAGGCTATCATTCTGAACTTTTTCCTATACAGTAGGCATTCAATTCCCGCACTACCGTTATCTGCACGGAAGCCACGCCCCTTGGTCACACGTATTTCTCACACGCGTGCGCGTACCCTACTCTGTCGCCCAGCACGCCCAGGCCAGAGCACATACGGTGTTGCGTTTAACACGCATATCTCATCATAGAAAGCGATATGTATCTAATACTGTTTTTATTAGTGGAATGAATATTGGTGGAAATTTCATTGCTTCTTGTCTCGCGGGAGACACGTAATAGGTAAACGATGTTAACCAAGCTAGACATTTGCTACTAAAATATATCACGAATTATTCATTTTTTCACATAATACCTTAATACTTTATTAGGCAGCATGTTTAAAAGAATCGATTTATGTAAAAGAAAGGATTTTTATTCCATACTATTTTAATATCATTAATAAAAGAACATAATTAACTTTGACTGCTAAGTAATAGACCTCTCCATACTAAAAAACTTCTGTGAATACACTTTTCTGATATCTCTAAAAATAACAGGAATAATTAACATAACCGTAAACTGTTTATATCCAGCCCACCCTATATGCAGCTCCTGATTGAGACAATAGTGATCACTGTTTTGAATAAACCTGTTGTCTAAACGATGGTACTATAAGAGAAGAGTACTTTTCCTAGTAGTCCATAAATGCTATAATATTCTTACGCCTAAAACAACACACCTGTCTAGGGGATCTAATAGATATAAAGGTAATGTAGTTAGAATAAGATACATACTGCTGATGAGGATTTCCAGATTCGCAGAGAATAGCAACGCGTTCACCACTGAGTCTCTGATAACGAGAATCGGTATTGTTCTCCACATTATTATTGTTAGCACCGTCCATTACTTGATCAGCTCTTCGCCTTTCTACCACACAAGAAACTCTGCTGCGTGCTTCTTGAATCAAAGTCTGAAAAAATATAGATTATATTTCGTTAATACTTCACACGAAATCTTGATCTGTTCAGTTGATATTATAATAGTTGTTCCAATCCAGAAGGTTTAAGGAACCCCCAAACCAATTACTTGAAAGGCGATCATAAGCAATTATTGTTAATATTAATAATAAATGATTTATAGGTTAAATCCTGAATTTTGTGATCAGACCTTGTTCGTTACGCTGTAAATTATAATAATTTAAATAAACTTACGCCCGCAATTTCGTCAAAATCGAACTGAAGGGGTAGTTTAATGTGCACAGGAGGGAACTCGTCGTCATCGTAGTCATCTTCTTCGTCGTCATTGTCGCCACTGTCGTTGTCCGACTTCGAATTATTTTCATCTTCTTTTTGTACTTTTATGACCTTGGTATCTGGCTCAATCTCCTTTTTTGTTGGCATTTGCTCTGCTAGACTTTGTTGCGTCTCCTTCGTCTCGCTCGTATCCTACAAAGATAATACATATTTTCTTTAACAACACTTAATATTATCCAAAATTTCAGTTTAACAACAAATGTCTCAGTATTACATTCTGACGAATTTTGTTCACTGTTCTTCCGTCTCTTACAATTTATTTCAAGACGAGCATTAATAGTAGGGACAGCGTATGCAATGTGGTGACATAGCGAATTCGTGCGCGTGAATGTAAATACGTGTGGAGGGGAAGTGCCTCATGTGGTAATATATCAAGCGGCAATATATCAAGAGTCCACTATATTAATAGATTACAAAATTTATTCACATATATACAGGGTGTTCCGCCTAAAACAGGCCGCTTAAATATCTTCTGTATCTATGTAATTTAAATGGTTTCAAGAGGCGAATCAGGTGGTGGAAAGAATTATATAACTGAATTGAAGATTTTTAGAGTAAATTTTTTACAAGTAAATTAAACATCTTTACAGTTCAAGGTCATTTCAAAGTCATACTATTATACACTGATGAATGCATAATAATATTGGTTATAACATACAACAAGAAAAATTATGTGCATATACGTAAAAAAACATGGGTAACCTTGAAAAACCCATTAAAAAATGACAGTTATAAAACAATTTTTTCCGCCATCCGATTCGTCCCGTGAAACCATTTAAACTACGTAAAAAATATTTCTCGTATGATCACAGATAGAGAAGATATTTAGGTGGCCTGTTTTAAGCGGATCAGCCCGTATAGCACTAGAAGACTTTGTAAATCTCAGAAAATACAATGTCATTAATTGATGCAATAAATATTTATAAGAAATTACAGATCAATCATGTTGACTGTTTTTGTAGTTCTATTGAACTTATATTTATGTTTTATCTACACGGCAAAGTAGAAGGAAAAGGTGAAATTGGGATCTCATTCTCACAGAATTACTGTCCTTTGTAGAGGAAACTTTGCGTTGTGTCGATTTGTGTATGATACATTTTATGAACAATCAGAGTCCCCGTTAGATAAAGTTTAAAGCATTAGTCTTGCCATGATCATAAATACCGATAGCTTATAAAATGAAGTCTCGCCGGATCCGCAAGGATGATATCTCAAATCTTGGTGGTTAATCGAGCGTACCATCGCATCGTTGCTCGTATTCGATTTCCATCGTTCCGGCGAGGTTATAGTGCGATAACATAAAGAGAGTTTACTTTCACTCGCGACCCGATGTCGCGACCAGGAAGAGAAGTTGCATCAACAGATGATTGCCGCGACGATCTTTATACAGCTTTCGAGACTTCGAGGAATACTCTTTGGTTGCTTCTTCAAAGACCATTTGTCTCAGAGCTACTATTATTGCCTGTCCTTTAATTATATTTAACAGTCAATGATAATAAACAATAACGATCGACCAAAGCAATACGCTACCGTGACACGCTCTAATTAAAGAGCAACAGCAAACAGTCCTCGCGGTGTTATAGAATTTCCATCGACATTTACTCGCCTGTTTCGTTACTGATACCTCTAGCGATTTCTAAATAATACTTTGATACCTTCGTAGCTATGTGTTTGTGCAAGAAAAATGCCACCAACGGGCGTATTAAACTCCGCGATACGCTAATTCAATTTCACGTTACGGTAATGATCATTGATTTGCTACCTGACTGGGTACTCATTAAACGTGTCATTAAATAAGGAAACGACATAGGATACGTATTTGGTAAATGACGATAGGAAGGAAGTTGTACAGCTACTTTCGAGAACCTAATTTGTGATCATCTATTGGCTCGCCGAAGGAGCTTACTTCATACGAAGTGACAACTTTCTAGAATATCGGTGAACGCAATGAAAGGTAGAATCGCTCAGCCTGGCTTCTGGTTTTCGCAATTGTTGGCTCGCTGTAACAAACCCCGATCTTCCTGTTAGCGCCGAACGTATTGTAGTCGTGCAATTTGAGGGAAACACTGTTACAGAAATCGCGCATAAACGAAGAAAGTGATGGACGAAAATTTATATGATTAGGCTGTTACTCTTATGTGTGAGTTGGTTTATGCTCATAATACTGGGTTTTATAGAATTTGTTAAGAACTAATAGCAATTACAGATGGAGTTTCAAAGTTAAGTACGTAAAGACTATATTTTATGGGGGCAATAAGAATATAATTTTGTGTAACCAAATTTCTTATTAAAAATATGTAATGAAGGTGTTACATATAATACATATATCTATGCCAGGGTGGAACGAAAAAATCAAAATTGTGTGACTGTTTCTTAATAGTGAAAAAAAAAACTTGTCTGTACTTCTTCAGATTAAGTCTGCAAAAGTTAGTTTTTCTAAAAAAATTGTTTATTTGCTGCAGCGGTTTATACTATGTATCGGAAGAAATCGTCGAAGCATTGTGTGAAAATAATTGCATAAGCTTTCGTATATTTACTTGAAATATTCTCCGAAATGAAGTTTAAATTTTCAAATATCTATGATTATATCGAATCGTACTTAAATTATGTAAAACGAAAGAGACTTTCCCATGTTATTCGTTTGTTTTTTTTACTTTACTGCATCCAAACAATTTTTTAGTGTTCGTGACGTTATGTATTTAAAATCTACCTAAAATTCCAACAATGTGGATTTCCATTCCCTACTTATGTTCGACGTGAATTGGCAAAGAACAGGAAGGATTTCATGAGAAAAAAGGAAATCAACGGGTTTCGCGTCGCATGCGGTACGAACGAAGAAATCGGGTATTGCAATTTGCCACGGAGACGACGCGACGGACCGGTCGCTCCCACAAGCTTTCTTTAGAAATCCTGCCAACCCCCTTCTGCGAGCTGCCTATCAATTAGCGGACCATTATGACAGGTAATCATCGTCGTTAGGCGACGTGCACACTGTCAGCCTTCTATTACAGTACAGAACGGGTTCCCATTGCGATGATGTGGATTTGCGCTCGCGTGCCTTCATCACTCGGTAGATAGAAATCGGCGGCACACTTTTGCATTTGCTCCAAGAACACCGCAGTTTTAATCTGACCGACTGGTTCTCCATATTTCATGGTTTTTTGTTTAGACATGAAAGTAGTACTTTTAAACAACAGAAATACTTCGCGAATGAGTTATACAATAGAATACTAGATGCGCAGGATTATTCTAGAAACTGGAAAAGATCACAGCTACACTTTTCACTGAAAAATAACACTGGTCAACATGATCTTTGTCCCAAAGAACAATTATACTGATTCTTATAGATTTTTTTGTGCTGGATACGATTCCGTAAACAGTTTTTTGTCATCACCCTCAGCTTCCGAGAAATTTGATTTTTTTTAAAACGCGGCGTCCAGCATAGACAAAGTAGAGTTGTAGTACAATCTCTGAAAGAGAATGACGTGTCTTTAAGAAGTTAGGTGCTCCTTCTTTAATTTTATTCATAAGGTTAGAGAGATATGAAAGAAAAAACGTTATAATCTTCAATCTCAGGGTCAAAATTAAATTCCCGATCAGCTTCTTAAGTACCTACGTACATATTTACAGATTATGCATGCGCAGGTATGTATTTAATCGTGACAACTATGATGAATAGTTTTATAATCACAAAAATATTTTGAATGTTACCGTACCATTTATCATATACATAGACCTACATAAAATACACACTACTGCTAAAAAGTATTAGGACACCTGGTCCGTATGAAGAGAATATGACGATTCGTAAGAATGATACATCCTAGATCACTTTTATTACTTCATAGTAGCACAAAATAAACAATATTTACTTCAGATTTTGAGCAATTTCCCTAATAATGCCTTGTAACATTTACTGCATATTTGTTGAGTTTCCTAATGTTTATGAACGGGAGTGTAGGTACATGGTACATCATTTATGTACATACTTATAAAAAAATTCATTTTTGAAAAATAAATACATTGCGAATTTAAAATTATTATTTTGCAAAACACTGTATGTAATTTTCATCTATTATTAATAAAAATTTGTGGTATCAATCTATTATCTTCAACGTAATAGTCATGGAAATATGTAAATAAAGGTTCACTTTGCATAAAGCTATGAAGACGAACTTGCTTCTCTTCTTAACTAATCAGTTTTTGTGTAAACCAGAACCTCCTGTTTAGAACATTTGTAAAAATATTTGTTTTTGTATCTTTTCTTTGTCTCCATTCAATACACAATTTTGCTTAACCCCGCGTACACTGTAAGTGTTAATTTGACCCGAAGCCAATGTGTGATTCTTTATTATATTTTTTATTATAGAAATTTGTGTATTAATTCGACACCAATAGCTTACGTACATATGTATATCATAATCTAGTAATAGGCAAATATACTTCTTCAATTTGATTACAATTCAAACCCAATATAATTCAGGGAATACTAATGCAATAGTTTATCGAACAGAACACGAGCGTTAAGAGAATGTTCTGGTCTAGCGCGTGAGCTTTATACCTACCCATTTTTCGGATCCTTTTGTAGGCAATGAAAGTAAGTGTAGTTCACAAAGTTTTTTCTAATGATTTAATTGAATTTTTAACAATATGTATAAATGTTTTATCGCGGAAACATAGGTGCAAAATGTCTGTATGGAGGTACGAAGATTGAGCGTACTTCCAACTGGCTGCCATGATATCGACTTTTGTAGGAATCTGAAACATATGGTTACAGAAAGATATTGTTCCTTGAGAATGTAGCTATCGTTTATTTCGCAATCTTTCATTAAAGTTAATTTTTAACAAAATGGCGTCTTGTTAAAAAGAAAAGTTCTCGTTTTCGCCTTCAATTCGGAAACTAATTTAAGTATAGAAGGAATTTTGCAAATATTTTAATACGTTTGTTACGGACGAGATTGACATCTTTTCGGAATATCCATGCAAAATTTCATTGAAATCGGTCACATCGCAATGAAGAAAACACGGCAGCCATTTGGAAGACCGATCAATCTTCGTACCTTCATACAGACATCTTACACCTATTTATTCGCAATAAAAAAAATTTATAAATATTGTTAAAAGTACAATTAAGTAATTAGAAAAAAACATTATGTACTAAGATTCTGACATGCGCATGAAACTCACGCGGTAGACCAAAATAGGTACCCGTTTAAACAGATGTCTACAACGAGTTGTCAGGAATCTTTTTCAACTATTTTCCGTTTCTATTCATTCAGAGAGGCACCATAGAAACTCAGCGTCCTACATTCTGCAATAATTCGAAACAAAGATATCCGCGCGATTTAAAGATATAAGAACGTCGAGGAAAAGTGAAATTTAGAGGATTCCCGTGAGAAGAGGAAAGTTTTCTAATCCACACGAGTGTATCGCCAGCGGCGCTCGGATGAGGTGATTACAAGAATGAAAATGATCCTTGATAATTGATAAGGGGTAATTTCTATCGCCAAGGTGATGCGGCATGTGAACAACGGCTCAGAGAGCGGGCAACAATACAGTTAGACTGCGGAGAGAAAATCTTTTCAGAGAACGTTCACCTTGCCACTGGTGCGTGCAACGAGCAACCCACTTTCCGTCGTGGTACCTACCTTTCCATTGGGAGTCGCAAAAATGCGGCGCAGCATCCTCGAGATGCTTTCATATCGCCACTCTATGTATACGTATGCCGAAGCATTCGTCGTTACAAACTTTGCTATGCAGAATGTTTAAAATAGCGGAAAAAGCGGATAAATCACTTTTTTCCACATCGTCGAAATAATGTAATTTTTCTATTATAATTGTTGTATCCTTTAACACTAGAACTACGGACAATTAATGTGTAACCTATTGCCGTTAAATCTATAAAAACGACAGTTCTACGAAACTATACAGATTTATAAGTTAATTAATCTTTTTATTTATATATTGTAGCAAACGTTGCAACCAATCTCGTGAAATGCACTGTCACAACCTTTTTACAAGAGTTTATGAACCTGTCGCCTTGACTGTTTTGGTAGATCTAGTAGTGTTAAACGATGTACAAGGATACACCTTTAACACTAGAACTACCAACAGTTAAGACGAAGCTATTTCTACCAAGACCAGTCAAAATGACCGGTCTTTAAAAAATACGTAATAATAGAATATTTTTATATTTATTGATTTATTACTATCTTACAAAAGGAAGTCCATGTTATGGAATTATAACTACTATATAATGACAACTATAATAACTATAATAATATAATTATAATAATTAAAGAATTAGGTCCTATTCCAACGACTATGGTATACAGAATGATCGCGTGAAACTGCATCGATGACTTATTTTTAATTTTATTATTAATGTTTATGTTTATGTTGTGGCGCCAGATACGACGTGGTGTGCCGCACACCGTGTGCGATAAAATTTCATAACAAAACATCGATAAATCTCTCTAAATATCTAATAAACGATTTCGGGTTCGGTAAACAGATTATAGGATACTTTTCCACTTTGAGAAGTACCAGTCAAAATGACTGGTATTGGTATAAGTAGCCATGATACAAAATTATTTTGATTCTGAATAAATAAACCAAAAATAACATTCATTATATTACACCTTTAGTTATCGTTGCAAAAGTCATCACATCATTGCGGAAAAAAAATGTAACATGAAGTAGGAATTTTAAAATGAAATTGTAAAACCAGTCATTTTGACTGGTGTGGTAGTTCTAGTGTTAAAAGAAAGTAAAAATGATAAGAAACAAAGTGAAAAAATACAGCACCGCCAACATATCCAGACAATCAACAGCAGCTTCATAACTAAAGAAAATACACCACCAGACATAATACGAGAAGAATAAATTGCAATTTGCCAAATCAAAATTAGGCATACAAAAATAACTTGTTGTCATTTACTCTTGAGAATTAGTCCTGTAATTTGTGACAAATGTAACGTACAAATAAGTGTCAATTGCTTAATTATACACTGTAGTAAGTATTTGATATTACTACAAACAAAGCAACATAAGCTCCAGTAAGCTAGAATTTGCGTGCCTAATTCGAGTTTTTGCGTTTCTCTGTTTAAAAAGCTGCACAAGAATGCGCTGTCTCGATCGTGAATAATTCCTCGCTTTCTAAATGTCTAACTTTTCTTGTCTAATATACTCATTAACACGAACCGATTTTCATAGACGAGCGTGAAAAACCTGACGAAAACTTTCTTCTTATACATACATAGTTGTAAATATTTTGTTCCCATCAACTGTAACTTCAAATCTCGAACAATCTATTATATTTAAGATAATAAACAGGTATTCTTTAAATAACATTCGGTAATGCTCCTTTGAGACACATATAAAGATAGGACTTTTTAATTCAGTGAAATTACTTACTTGTTTAGGATACTCGGTAAAGTTAAAGTATTCAAGATTGTACGTGCGAATTGAAAAATAACAATTGTTTATCACTGATTTATCAGGTTTTATGTATCTTTCAGCGTCACTTTAAATAATTACTAGGAATAAACTAATTTCCCTTTCCACCGCAAATGTATCTAAATCAGGGACTTTAAACCGATATGATTTTGATACCGGTATTACGTCAATGAAGCTATACCAAAATCGTTATAGTATCACAATTGAGATGAGATTTGGATTAGGTTAGAGCTAGATTTTTTCTCGGGGTGGGGGTGCAGCTGCGCTTACGCATTTCATAAACGTTTCCCATATAATTAACAATTTTATCCCCGCCTACGCAATTACTTAAAGAAGCAGATATTCTAATAATATAGTGTTTTTACTAGGTAAAATTTAAATTATGAAATTGAACATACACCTTTATATTGCGAAATTTATTTGTTAATAGGTTTTTAACAAATGAAGAATGACGGCAAAATCTTTCTCAAGATCAGTGAGAAGGGTCACTTTGACAACATACGTCAAGGTCAAGGTCATTGGAGTTGCCTCCCCTATTCTAAATATTTACCAAATTGTTTTCAAAAAGGCTGACCCTCCTCGATTAAAACAAAAGAAGAATCAGCCGAATACGATAAATAGTTTCTCAGTTATAAATTCACAAGTACAATCCATTTTCACGAAAATGGGCAAAAATCGTAAAATTGAAAGGCCTGTATTTTTTAGACTGACTCACCCCTTAATTCCACGTGAACTATATCGTATCCTATTTTGAACAGAATCCCAGATATCAAGAGAAAAAAGTGATCGTTTTGGCATGGAATAACCCGAATAGGATCCATTCCTGACGCTGTTTGACGGAGTTTTTGCAATTCTCTTCTGAACGATGCCAGCAGTGAATGTATTTTCTTTTTTGCTTCAATGATTTGGATTCCAAGGAAAGTACACAGTTCTGCTCGCGCATCTTTTTTTTATTATCAGTATAAGGTATTAGGTGAAATATGCGCAAGTAATTAAATGTCATGTAAAAAGATATAAGTTTTAATGTTTGTTTGTAACACAATGGTAAGACATATTTACTGACGACGAGTCAAAATAGAAATTGTGCAATGATATTCCTAAATATGTATCTACCATAATCAACTTTGTTTTTTTCGATAACAGCCGAATCGTGTAAAGTCGAATTGTCGATAAAGCAACTTCAGCACTCCGAATCTAGCTTTCCGGCTTTATGAATGAACAAATTCACGATAAATTATGGTTAATCTTCAGTAAGTAGTTCGTTATGTACTGCTGATAACATTGAGGAGAATATTTAAATGTGTGCCACAAAGATCCATTAAGAGGCGTGAGAAAGGATTCCTTATTACTATCTCATTATAAACTGTATGTTTCGAGGCTACCATTAAAATTCATAGTCAAATCGATTCAGATACATTTGTAATATCGTTTCTATTTAATTTTCGAAATTACAAACAATACGAATTATCAGAAGATTTATTTAATTCTGAACCACGTCGAACAGCTGTTTCTGAATTTCTTTCCGTAGCACAGGAAAAGATATCCTACTTTCTTGTTTAGCTTTCACTTCCATTTCTAAATGTACTTTTTACTTGCGCCTCTGTTCTGTTTACTTCCAATGGTGCGCTTGCTTAAGCAAAATATCGATTCTGTATACATAAGAGAAGAAATACTAAATCTATCTGATAATTTTCTAATGATGGTTTAATAAATTACAAAGCTACTAGATACTGGTACATTATCTGGACACCGTTGCTAAGAAAAAGCATTCTGCCTTGTAAAGGAAATGAATCGAATGAACAATTATGAATGTTTACAGGATTGTTCATGATTTTGAGAATCGTCGATTATGTAACCAACTACTTACGGACGTTTTACACTCAGAGCTTTAACGATTTTCAACCTTTTCGACTGCACAGAGAGAATTGGTTTCTTCCTTCAGCATGTTAGCGTTAATCATATTAGCGCCCTTACCACAGCGTTTCTGTTCCTCACTTTCAACTATAAAGTCAAGGAGCCCGATTCGACTGGAAATAATCTTCGAGAGGCGATCGATTGACAATAGTTTCGCCGGCGAGTCTTTTACAATTGGTTGAATTTGAGGTGAAACTTTAGAAATCTCGAAAGCTGGTATCGCGACAAGCAAGTGAAACGTCTTAAAACATCGTTTATGGCGGCATTACAGTCCTTTTATGTACAATATTGCGTATAGGAGAAGCCATTTTAAACTGATACATGTATGACTGATATAATACGTATATTTTTTACTTATAAACGAAAATAAAATCAGGATATTAAATGTTACTCTAACACATTTAAAAATTATGTTCTAGTTCGTATATATATATATATATATAAAATGAAAAAATTTCTCATAAATATTATGTACTTACCTGAATGAGTGCTTCTGGTTGCAAATGCTTTAAGAATTCACCTTGTTGATAAGTAACAGAAGGTTGTTGCTGTTGTTGTTGAAGCTGCAGTTCTGCTTGCATCGCGGCAATCGATTCGGGAGTACAAGACGCGCGAGCTTGGACCCAGGAGGAGGCTAGGATGAAGCTTCCAAGGACGACGGACATCGTCACCAAAGTGACAGCCGCGATCCTTGCGATTTGTACTGCCGTACTTTTCGGCCTCATATACGCCTAGAAATCACATTAAATTTGATTTCAAAAAACAGTCCATTGAAATCACTTTTTCCATGTAACAAATATCAAAGATAGGTACATAAAGAGAGTATACCACCCTGAGGCGTCTAAAACTAGATAAAGTTTGGGAATTTGTTTCATAGGTAAATTATTAAATGAAAAGTTTCATGTTTTTAGAGGATATAAATGTTGTTTCCAGCTTTATTCTTCAATTAAAATGAAAATGTTACAAAACGACAGAGTTATTTGCAAAGTCCGACACCTCTTTTGCTAAAACATCGATTCATGGAGCTATCAGATCTTTTCTTGTGAGAAACAGAAAATTGCCTTGAAGTACAATAATATCTCCGTTTCATTCGGTCCGCGAGGCCTTTCTGCATGATACGTCCCGTCCCCGAGCTATCCCTGTAACATCGCCAGGAGTTTGAATTTTGCAGAATCATTTTGACAAAATATTCCATTCACCTCTGTAAATTTGAAGAAAATTTTTAAAATTCGATTTTTTAAAACCGTTAGTGTGGTGTACCATGACAACCATCAAGTTTTTACTTTGATCGGCGTGCGTGTTAACTTTCGCATTTGTAATTTTGGTATTCGCAATTATACCGCGTTTGTAATTTCCCCACTCCCCCTTATAACTTTAATAACAAGTTGCATTAAAACGAAGTATGGACACAGTAGGTAAAAGTATGGATTGTTTCAATGCAGAATACTTTTATTTCGTACATCTAGGAACAGTGAGCTAAATAACTACATAATTAACCGATGTGTTCCTTCAGTATTCTTGTCGTTCCCATTTTATCTCAATCAAAAGTGCGTTTTATGATTTTATCGGCAGCCGCGATCGTTGGTCGCAGCGAAGAAAGGAACGGTTAAATCAGACTTCCGCGATGATCTCACTACGTAGAAATAAATAGGTAGCATAAAAACTACATTTACATCAAGGTTCTTTAATGGATTCCTGCTTACGACCGGTAGATTTGCCTTTCATTCCCCTATACGTTCCTTATTGTCAGTGTTATTCTCCATCCATATATATTTCCATCTGCCAGAATGTATTTCTACACTAACCCTCGCAATACCAAGCCTTTCTTTGCTTTGTTTTGAATATATGTATATGAGAATAAAGGGTTTAAAATAAAGTATTCCATTAAGATTGAAAAAAATTAGATTATGAAATTTAATGCCGTCAAGATGATTTCTAATTTAACTGAAGGAAATTAATCTAACAATAAATTCAGTAGCATTTAGTTTATGTTGATCTAGTGAAACAATACAAGAATTTTTATGGAATATTTTTGTGTAACACTGCTTTTTTATACTTCTGTATTGTACGTATATGATATTAGATAATGTTGTACACCAAGAGTGGATTATAAATTGGTTTCCTACGTAAGCTACAGTATAAACACCAAATTCGGTATCAAACTGATGATTTTAAAAGTAGGTACATATTTCAAATTATTTTAATTGATCTCTCTATGCAGAAATCTTTAATAATATGCGATGGCTTAGAAATAAGACGGACGCGAAATAAGAATTAGACATTCATTTCATATGGCTGCATTTTGAAATTCTAGATGTTTTTAATAGTTCAGCAATTCCTATTAAGGTCTACTTTGATGGCGTGCTATTTGTTATCATATTAATAACGTCTGAAGAAATTTGAAGCGTAGTATATATATATATACATATATATATAAAATGGGTTTTGATATACGCTTTTATACATTAACTAAAACTAAACCATTACAATTACGTTCACATTTTACAGACTACCCTATAGATTGAATTGCGAAGGCGTAATTTCATATTATATAGATGCTATATAATGATGCACACCCACACATACAGTGGATGAATGTAACAATGAATCAGGTGCAAAAATCATTACGGGATAATGTAGTCGATGCAGAGTGTGCACCCAGAATGCAATCACATAAATGTGTAGAACTTCATGCTGGCTATCCATCCGAGTCGAGGTCATTTGTCGTTTCACGCTCTCCTTTCGCATAGAATCGCAGTATTCCCACTTCGCGGAATGAAGCTAATTGCGGGAAAAAGTGAAAAATGCAATTAGAGAACCTTACCGATTCCCTGTGTACGCGTCTCTTTACGCGCAGATGAATACACAACCATTTATGGTATATTCAAAACGTGCAAAATCTTTCAATAGCGGTAATATAGAAATATAAAATAATACTGGTATTTTAGTATTGTAATACTAGTATTCTTGTATTATACCTATTCTTCCACTTGTTCCACTGAATTAGTAAATATCGTGCAAAAGTATCGATGGATTTTCTGTAGATGATAAGATCGTCACGGTTTTGTGGAAACAATAAACAGTTATATGATAAATGATAATATTGATAACATATTATATGTCGATGTCAATGTATCATAGAAACTGACGCGATTCTGTGTGTTTCATCGTTTAAGGTACAATCGGAGTTGAACTACTAAAAAAAAATTAAGAAATGAATGGTATGAACGTTAGGAACACCACAGATAACATTGTGATCTGTTTAGAAAAACTGTTATGTCAATCCCACTCTGTAGTAAGCTGTAAATTTACCAACATAAGGGAATTAAATAAATTCAGTGAATAGTAATATTCCAAAAAAATGTGTTTATTAGAAAAATATTTTCTATTGAAAATTCATATGTTGTCAACATTATATACTTCATCAAATTATTAATAAATTATAATTAAATTTATCATTAGTCTACTGTTTCAGAACAAAATCCACCAAAACTTTTGCACTGATCCAATAACATTAATTCCACGTTCTTTCATGGGGGTCCGTCCAGTATTTACAGTTTATATTTGCCAATATTATTTAATTAGATTGGTCGGAACGTTCCATTGTTTCTTATTTATGTTTTAATGACAGAATGCAGAATTTTCATGTGAAAGGCATCGACAAACTAGCAGAAAGTTGAAGTATGCTTACATAATGCAATAACTAGATTGCAGATATTATGCAATTGAAACATACCTACACGATTCATTAAAATTTATTGTAGCAAGAGGTTTCATGCTGGTTTCATTTAATCTAAAACCTGATACAATGCCTGACAGACTCAGCGAAAACTCGTCACTTCAGTTTCTATACAGAAATTACTCCATAAAATTCTATCTTTCCACAAACATCCGCAATTTAATAACCATGATATTCGTGATTGTTACTTTTCGTTGGTTTCTTGCTTAAATTGATATGTGGTAACACAAAAGTCAAACAATACATTCGAAAAACGATGAAGCTTTCCATTAGACTTAAAAAGTACAGATAATTCAGTGAAACTTCGTATGCACACTATTTAAATGAAAATATGAAATGTCATTAAGCCCCAAAGTCCTACTACTAAGAGTATCTAATACTAGAGTGTTAAAACACTTATGGAATTAAAGTAAATGGTAGAAATATAAACCATGGAGTCTGTTTTGCGATATTTTCACACATGATAAAATTAATATAAAAAAAGGAAAAACTTGTTTGCGATAACTGTTGAAATTTTTCCGTTAGTTTCGGATTCAGACATGAGAATTACGAGGATAACATTACATATCTTTGACCCGACGCTAATTGTTTGTGCAAAATCATTTAAATCAACGTAAAAGTAAACGCGTAACATAATACGCACCTCCATTGCCAGCCGGGAGGCGGAAATAAGTACAATAAAGTAAGTCTCGATAACTGTACCTTGACACTATTATTTCACACCTCGAACTCGCGCCGTTGCTGGAGGACCTTGAGAATCGCAAAAATTTGAGTCCACTGGCAATGCGTATTTGATCTCGTGTACTTTATAAATATTATGTGACGACGACGATCAAATAGATATTGATAATATCGAGGTACTAATTATACTGGTCGACACTAAAGTCAACGACTAATTTACATCCCATCAAGATGTTCTAATCAATTTAATATCATCCGGTTTTTCAGTGTCGTTTTACCGGTAACAGGTAAACACATATGGGTCAATCCACACCAAATCGATCACTTTTTGCACTCGATGTGGGGGATTTTGTTCAAAATGAAACATGTTGTAGTCCAGGTGAAATTAGAGGGGAGGGGGTTGGTTTAAGTCATCATTTCGTTGGTAATAAATTTTTTTCGGTATTTTTGTGCGTTTTTGATTTTTCACAACAGACTCCCCACCAAAAAATTACAAAAAATTCTCACTTACGTGTCCTAGTAAGCACTATCTATCAGATTTTTTATAGAATTTTTGCGTACCATTACATAGGGAAAATAGACGAAAAACCGGTGATCCGAATTTTTCCTGTTATGTACTACCTCCTGATCGAGAGAGGGGGTTGAGTAATTTTTTGTTTTATAAGATATTGAATGGTATATTATACATAGATCCAAATCGATGTAAGGGCACTTTGACCCCCTTATCCTGTTATATCCTTTACAAGAAAGGCATACGTCAAGATTCTCAATTTAAGACACCATAAAATTGCACTAATATAATAGAAATGTTTGAAAAAAAAGAATGCTCCCGAAAAACTGTTCCGATCCACGTGACTCGTACAATTACTTTATCGTCATTTGTAATTTTATGAATAATCAGGAAGAAGAAACTCGCGCGGATAACGACAAATCAACGTGCCAATTACCATAAAGATAAAATCACTGTGCATATTGTGTATCGACACGCGAGTAAAGCCTAGCATACCAATTAAAGGCAAATTACTAAATTCCAAGGCGTTGCCGACTCTTCCTTGTACGGCTCAGCACGTGAATGTCTATTTTTTTCGAAAATTAAAGCAATATTGCAACAATTTGACGAGGATTTACAAGAATTAGTATTACACTATAAGCACACTGTAATCTGTTCACATTTAAAGCGCCTTCTTTCACGATGATCAACAATAAATGTGTGAGAAATCATATATGTATGTACACCAGGTCTGTAAATTTAAATTTTTCCTCCATCGGAAAAAAGGAGGCAGTCAGGTTAGCAGCGTTTCGGTATTACGA